GTCAATAACTGTCAAGTCAACATATGCAATTCATGTGAGATGCACACATTACTGAGCACCTACTATGTGGCAGGCCTGGAGCCTAAGGACCCAAACAGATACAGTCCTTGCTTTCATGTCTTACAACTATAGAATGGTGATTGTGTTCATTTTCTATTGCTGCTGATGCAAAATACTACACGTTTCGTGACTTAAAACAACTCAAATGAATTATGTCACAAGAAGTCCAGATATAGGGTCGGCTGTTTGCTCCAGATTTCCTGAAGTGCAAACCAGGATGTCAGCCGACCTAGGCTTTTATCTGGTGGCTCTGGGGGAGAAAATGCTTTTAAAGGTAATTTAGATTGTTGGCGCAATTCAATTCTTTGCAGCTAAGGGGGTGAGGTCCTCAGCTTGTGGGCTATGAGCCACGAATCTCTCTTAGCTCCTTAAGGCCGTCTGCATTCCTTGTCACTTTGTCCCCCTGCTTCCTGCCGTTCCGGCCACCAGTGAATCTCTCTGACTTCCGTTTTGCTACATCTCTACTGCTTCCAGCCTGAGAAAGCTCTCCACTTTCAGGGGCACATGCAATTAGGTTGGGCCCCCCTGGACAATCCAGGATAACTTCCCACTCTTGAAGTCTGTATCCTAGTTACCTCTGCTAGGTCCCTTTTGCCATATAACATAACATATTCACAAGTTCAAGGGCATGAATGTTTTTTAGGAGACCATTATTCTGCCTACCACAGTAACATTCTTCTAGAATTATTTCCCTCACTCAGGTGATTTGGAGAAATACCTCACATTATATCTAAATTTATTTTGGCTACTGCATTATGTTTTGTTTAATAATAAGGAGACTAGAGGGGCAGCTGGGTGGCTCAGTTGGTTGAGCGTCTGACTTTAGCTCAGGTCATGATCTCGTGGTTTGTGGATTCGAGCCCCGCGTTGGGCTCTGTGCTGACAGCTCAGAGCCTGGAGCCTGCTTCAGATTCTGTGGCTCCCTCTCTCTCTGTTCCTCCCTCTCTTTCACTCTCTGTCTCTTTCTCAAAAATTAATACATATTAAAAAAAAATATTCTTTAAATAAGGAGACTAGAATTTCTTTGAATGGCTATTCTGAGCCAGACCTTATTAGTTAATAGAAAGAAGGGTTGATTATGGATTCACAGAAAGGAAGATATAAAATAGGTAATTGGTAAACTTTGTAAATGGATTGAGAACAGGCAGCAAATGATACAAGCGCAATGCGGATGTCTATTTTATCTAGCAGCAGAAGAATATGGGGCTGAACAATTAACTGTATTTAATGTTATTCCAAGTAGGATGTTTTCCTGAAGGTTATTAATCTACCATTGAAAGTATAAGATCATTTCCTATTTTTGCATGCCACTGAATCTCTTGTTTGAAAGTAATTGAAATTCTCTTTTCTCCTAAAACTTCTTCCAACATCACAAAAATCATGAACTTTTAAATCTATTAACTAGAAATCTGAATAATATTAAACATCAATTCAAAAATACAGAATTTTAGAGGGTCTACTATTTTCTGGGGATTTACGCTAGATCCAGAAGACACAAATATAGATCGGGCATACTCCCTGCTGACAGGAAACTCATAGGCATCTATATGAATAAATTACAAGACCGTGCATCCGGGGCACTGGGAGAAGCAAGCACAAATGGAGGGAAGGGTTTACTCTATGAAGTAGTAAGAGAAATGTTTTATGGTGTTTCTTTTTAGATTTTTAAAGAGTTAAATATTTTAGAGGAGCTTCAGGGTCACAGGAAAATTGAGAGGAGGGTAAGGAGATTTCCCATATGCCTTCTGACCCCACGTCTGCAGTGCCTGCCCCATTATCAACATTCACCAGGGTGGGTGCATTCGTCACATCAATGAGCCTCCACTGACACATCGTAATAACCCCAACTCCGTAGTTTATGGTTCACTCTTGGTGTTGTACATTCTATGGGTTTGGAAAAATGTAGCCATCATCATAGTATCATACAGAGCATTTTCATTGCTTCAAAAATCCTCTGGGCTTTGCCTATTTACCCCTCCCTGCCCATCCCAACCCCTAGCAACCACTGGTCCTTTTACAGTCTCCATAGTTTTGCCTTTCCCAAAATGTCATACGGTTAGAATCAGAGAGTACGTAGCCTTTCCAGGCTGGCTTCTTTCACTTTGTCAGAAGCATTTAAGTTTCCTCCACACCTTTCCGTGGCCTGAAGCTCACTTCTTTTTATCACTGATTAAAATTCCGCTGTTTGGATGTATCACAGTTTACTTGCTCATTCATCTACTGAAGGAACATCGTGGTGGTTTCCGGGTTTTGATAATTATGGATAAAGCTGCAATATGCCTCTGTGTGTAGGTTTTTGTGGGGACATAAGCTTTCAACTCTTTTTGGATACATACCCAGCAGCGCAACTGTTGGGTCACAAGGTAATAGTATGAGTATGTTTGGGTTGTTTAGGTTTTGCAGGCTTTTCTGGTTTTGAAGGAGGCATAAACAAAGGCACTTAAGTACAAAAAGACACAGGTATTTGGAGAACTCTAAGTATGGCTGGAGGGTAAAGAGCCAGGGTCCTGTGGTGAAATTAAGGCTGGAAGGTTGGCAAGTGTCAGAGCCTATCATGCTATGCATTTTTTTTACTGAGATGAAATGCCAACAAAAACGTTTTCATCGAGGAAAATACGATTGGACTTGCACTTTGGAAAGGTTATTTTGGCTGCACAGAAGAGAATGGGTCTGGGTTGGAGGCCATGTGTGGGCTGGAAAACCAGTTTAGATTAGATCGTGTCCCAAGGACGAAAGCTTAAACCAATGCCTTGGAAATGACGACACAGAGTAGTGGAAGGAGTAGAGAGATTCGGCAGTAGGAATCATCAGACTTCATTCATGACTATCTAAGCGATGGCGGTAGACAAGGGAGGGAAGGGAAGGGCGAAGGAGAAAGAGGAGTTGACAGTTATTTGAAAATTTCTGACATGGGAGGAACATCTGAAATCACGAAGTCTGACTAAACTGGGGAATAAAGGAAAACAAGGGGAGAATAGATGGTGACCAAGACTTTCTGCCTGACCAAACTTTATTAGGTGTCCGTGAGCCCTCCTCTCGAGGCTTTCTACCTGGGCGCCATCTCTGGCCTGCCAAGTCCAACTTTAGTCAGAATCCTAAGTCAGTTTGGAGAGACTCTCTCAGCCTTTAAATATGTTCACCCTTGATATCTGATCAAATTCCTCACCCCTCACCTTTGATCTGTGATCTCACTGGTCTGCCGTCGGCCAGAATCCCGTGAAATCAGTTAGGCAAGAATCACCTCTAACCCTGATGCCCTCGCTTAGCAATTTTCTACCCACTGATCCCTCTCACTCAGCTCCTTGGCTATACATTTCCAGCCGTCTTAGATGTGTTCATAGTTGAGCCCAATCTCTCTCCTCTATTGCAATAGTCTGAACACCTATAGCAACAGCCCTGAATAAAGTCCTCCCTATAGTTTCAACAAGTGTAAGAATAACTTTTTTAACAACGAGGAGAAACATCGCTCCAGAACTAAAGTTACTTCCAAATACCTCTAATTTGTCACAAACATCTTTTAACTATTGTGCAAGTAAATAATATGGATTATGTGCTTTAGGGGTTTTACCACACATTGTGATGTAGGCAACCCAGCCATCAGGGCCCCCAGAGCCTAGCAAGAAAGCCAGGGGCTTTTTTGTTAATTAAAAAAATTTGTGTGTGTGTATATATATGCGTATATACACATATATATATATATAAAACACCCACCATGTCTGACAGCTCATAAATTCCTTCCTTAAAGATCTTACAATAACTTACAGCATGCTTACAGCACGGTCAGCCTGAAGGGAAGAGTCTAAGTCTTCGTAACACTTGGAGCCTACTTTTCTGCGTTTCCTAACCTCAATCTAACTGCAAGGTCAGTTCAGAAGGAAGCTGTGGTAACTGCCCACACTCACTGATGCAGCGTGAGAGCTGCCTGACACATAAGCAGTGAGCAGGACTCTGTTCTCACAACACTTGTTTAAGCGTCCACTTAAAATTGAATTTCATGTTGTTGCCACGTGTTCCAAAATGCTTTTTATTTTCTTAAGCATTGAAACATGTAAAAGGCATGTTAACAGCTCACGGACGTGCACAAACAGCCGGCGGGCCCGCTACGGGCTGCAGGAGGCCGCTCCAGGGGCGCGCGCACGCCGTCGGAGCTCCAGCGGGGGCGCGCACGCCGTCGGAGCTCCAGGGGCGCGCGCACGCCGTCGGAGCTCCAGCGGGGGCGGCACACGCCTTCGGCGCTCCAGGGGCGCGCGCACGCCGTCGGCGCTCCAGCGGGGGCGCGCACGCCGTCGGCGCTCCAGCGGGGGCGCGCACGCCGTCGGCGCTCCAGCGGGGGCGAGAGGCGCGGGACGAATACGCCGACCTCGCGGGTGGACTTCCAATCCGACAGTAGCAAGTGGAAGCGCTTTCCAACAACGCGGTGGCCATGCCCGGGAACGGCGACCGGGAGGGGAAGGGGCGCGGCCCACACCGCTCACCCCCTCCCGGCGGCTGGTAACGTGGCGCCCCAGCTCCGCGGACCGGACAGCGCGCGGACGCGACCCCGTGGACGCGGAGACGCGGAGACGGGAGCGCCGCCCCGCAGACAGGCGCCCAGCCCCGCCCCCTGCGGCGCACGCACGCACGCACATGCCCCGCCCCGCGCTCCCTCCGGCTCTACTGCGCATGTCTCGGGTGGGGGGGGGGGGGGGGGGGGGGTCCGCGACCGACCGGGAGGCCGAGGCCGGCGCTCCGCGGAAGCGCTCCTCCGCGGCGGGCGGGCCGACGCGGCCGCGCGTGCGTCACTTCCGCTGGGGCGGGTCGGAGCTGAGGGGGTGGCGCCCCGGCCGCCGCTCGTGTGTCCGTGCCGGAAGCTCCGCTGATGCGCGCCGGCCGGAGTAGACGTCCTGGCCGGGAGAGGCGCGTCGCCCCTGCATCCCGGTACGGGGGGGCTGAGGGACGGCGGCGGGACGACGGGGGAGGGGAGACGGCGGCGTGGTCGCCCGGGCACTCGTCCGGCGCGTCTCTGTCGTCGGTGAGAGGGCGGGCCGACCCCGGCCTCGAGCTCCCGGGGCTGAGGCTCCGGAAGGCGGCCGGGGGCTGAGGGAGCCGCGGCCGGGGGGGCTCACCGGTGCGCGGCGCCCGCCCCGCCTGCCCCCGCGGGTTCCCCCGCTCGGCCCCGCGAACTGTTTGGGTTTTCGTGGCGCCGCCCCGCGCTTCCGGCCCCGCCCCCGCGCTCCCAGCCCGGCGTCCCCGGACCGCTGGGGACCGTCACAGCGGTTTCCCCGTTCCGCGCCGTTGTCGCGCGTCCGCGCCGCGGCGCGTTCTCCGGCGGGATTATTTTCAGTCACCAGCGATTTCTTTTTAACTGCCCGCCTCCGCTGCAGTTGCTTCAGCGCCTTCAGGTGTGTGCCTTTTAAGAGATGAAACTGGACGCATGAATCATTGTGTGGCAGCGCCCTTCGTCGCTGTCGTTTCTGTCGTGATGCTGGGAGGAACCCAGTTTCTGCGGCTAATGAGGACTCTCAAGAAAAGTGGTGCCTTGTAGGAGAAACCTGGGAGAAATGCCCAGAAAGTACTGTCGTATTTTAAGTGGCGTGTTGTGGGTCTAGAGTCCTATTTGCTGAGATTGCAAAATGACACAAGTATGTTTCATTGTAGGGGGAAACAGTGGAAAAATAAGAGTTTTTAATAACGACACTTCAAGCGTATTAAACTGTGAGCTAGAGTTTATGCCTTTTGGAGGCTGTTTCAAGTGCATTGTCGTTTTGTTAAAATGGGTGGTCTGTTTGTATTTCAGCATAAGAACATGTTCTTCATACTTCTTGTTGTTCAGACTTTTTATCAGTGACCTTGGTGTTTTCCAGTTTCTGCCTTAGATCTACATTAAAATCTTGAGAGACTGTCTTTTTATAGTGACCCGGAGGGAGAAGATCAGTTGACCATGTATTTATCTGCTTCCCATGCGAAGTTGGTAAAAGTACAGCTTGTCCTGAGTTGTTGTTTTGCTCATTAGTGACAAAGGACTTGTGCTGCAGGGTACATGCCTCCCGTGCGGGACACGTATTTGTAAAAAGGTCAGGGCAACTCTTAGCCCTGGACACCTTCCCGCCGAGTCTTCGTGATAATCCGTCACTGTGTGTTTCATGTTTCACTTTGTTTGTTATCCAGTTCTTTTTACGCCTTGATGCTGTACTGGTTTCCATCAGCCTGATGTTTTTCAGGCTGTGCTTCCTCCTGCGTTTTTGTTTCCTAGGAAGACTTCCTCGCCGTCAAGGCTCTACCCTTGTTATTCTCTCTAAAGTACTAAAACCAGAGTTTTAAACTTTCAGATTTTTTAAATGTTTATTTATTTTTGAGAGACAGAGACAGATCGTGAGCAGGGAAGGGACAGAGAGAGAGGGAGACACAGAATCCAAAGCAGGCTCCAGGCTCCAGGCTCCGAGCTGTCAGCACAGAGCCTGATGCGGGGCTGAACTCAAAAGTCATTTAACTGACTGAGCCCTCAGGTGCCCCGAGTTATAAAATTTCAGATCCAGGGAATTCTTTAGTAGGTTCATGGGTATCAAACATTATGGAAAATGTAGTGTGTATATATGTGTGTGTGTATGCATGTGTATACGTGCTTATATATGTGTATATATTTGCATATGTATATTTATTTGTGTATATATTTGCATATATATGCAAATACCAGTTTTCAAGGAAGAGGAGATTTAATCAGATTCTGTGATCCCCAAATTCTCAAGTATTATTACTATAAACCTTTTTTTGGTAAATCCAGTCTTATGTTTTCACCGTCACTGAGCTGGGAACTCGAGCCTGTGCTCCTGGAGTACCTCTCCATTTGAATGTTCCACTGTTACTTCATCCTGTAAATCCAAGAGCTTTTCCTGTCATATTAAATTGGTCCCCTTTCCAGTTATGTCGTGTTCACTAATGATATTCTCTTTGTGTCTCTGAATAAAAACACTTGCGTTGTCTTGACATCTTCTCCTTAGCCCATTCTTCCCTGTTACCAAGTCCTTTGTCCAGTCTCCCTTTGTCCTGTAGCACAGTGCCATTACCTTAATTCAGTCCTTGTCACTCTGTGCCAGCATTTTGCAATAACCAAGGGAAGTGCTGTGTGGATTCATTCTTTCCATCCTCAACAGTCTCCACCTAGCAATTCCCTTATTTCCTCTAGTTAAAACGCAATTCCATTCCCTAGAGGTTGGTCTAAACGTTTCTGTTCTGTATATTCCTCCACTGAATTTATTCATCCCCATAAATAGGTACTCTAGTCTTCCTCTGTCTTTTATCAGTAAATAATGGCACTTCCCACTTGACATTCTTCTCTTTACCTGTTTGCAGTCTAACTTTTGTTCTAGCTGAATTTATTCTCAAACTTTGATCTGCATTTACTGGGTTTGTGGTTTGGAAGCAGTTAAATGAATCTTGTTGATTTTGTTGGCAGTTTTCTATGCTTCTTAATTTTTGCTTGATATTTGTAGTTTCTAGAGAAGCGTATTAAAGTGTTATGATCATGGAATTGTCTGGTCTTCCTGTAATTGTTCCTTTTTTTTTTTTTTTGCTTCATATTCTGTATTTTGGTGCCTTGTTGGGCGTATTCGTAATTCTTGAGAGTTATATCATTGGAAAGAAACAATGGGGACTCTACCCCTTGGAGCTCTGTCTTCTGCTTGACTCTTGGGCCCGTTTTTCCACCATTTTCCCTGTTTTGTTTTGTTTTTTTTTTGGTTTGTTGTTTTTTTTGTTTTTTTGTTTTTTTTTTGCTTCAGCCCCTGGTTTCTTCTTGCTATTCTTGAGTAGACAAAACTTAACTACTGTCTCCAAAGTCTTGGTTGCTTTTTCATTTGCCTTGAATGGTTTTTTCTCAGATACTCGTAATAATTTGCTTCTTACCTTAATTCAGATCTCCAGTAAAATGGCAACTCAGTTCTCCTGATCATGTCAAGTAAAATAGCCCATTTGCCCTGAGTTGTGGAAGCATCCTTTCTTGGTAGTTTTAGTTGACTCTGTTGAGGCCCCTTGAGGTTCACCTGCTGACTAGTTTTCATTTGCTTGGGGTCTGAGTACCTTTCAAGGCAGTGTGACTGAAGAAGATCCAGGCCTGTGATTTCTCAGTTATGGGTTTACCACAATCGGGGTTTTTTTATATTTTAATAAAAACACAGGTTATAAAATCTACCATCTTAACCATTTTTAAGTATATGGTCCAGTGGCATTGAGTACATTCACACTGTTGGCAAAACAGACCTCCAGTACTCTTTCATCTTGCAGAACTGAAACTCTGTACCCATGAAACAACCCCTTTTACCCCATTCCCCCAGCCCCCAGGGACCACCATTCTGCCTTCTATATCTGTGAATTTGAATAACTCTAGAGACTTCAGTGGACTCATACACAGTATTTGTCCTTTTGTGATGGCTTATTTTACGTCAGATAATGTCCTCAGGGTTCATCCCTGTTAAACCATGTGGGAGGATTTCCTTCTTTTTAAAGGCTGAGAATGTTTCATTGTTTTGTAAATACCACATTTTGTCCATCTGTTTGTCTATGGAGATGGACGTTTGAGTTGTTTCCACTCTGCTGTGGCATGCTGCTGTGAACACAGGTGTGCAAATACGTGCTTGAGCCCCTGCTTTCAATCCCTTTGGGTATGTAAATCCAGAAGTAGGATTGCTGGATCAGGGGGTACTTCTATTTTTCATATTTTAAAGAACCAGAGTACTGTTTTTCACAGCAGCTGCTCCATTTTCCATTCCCACCAGCGGCGCTCAAGGATTCTAACTTCTCCACATCTGTCAACGCTTGTTATTTTCTGCTTGTTTGTTTTTAATCTTATCCATATGAATGAGTCTGAAGTGATTTACAGTTCTCTGATGATCAGTGATGTTGAGCATCTTTTCCTGTGCTTGTTGACCATTCGTATATGGTATTTAGAGAAACGTCTGTTCAAGTTCTTTGCCCATTTTTTAATCAGGTTATTTGATTTTTTGTTGTTGAGGAGGAGTCTTACTGGTTTTGAGCATGGCTTTTTATTTATAAGGACTTTAATTATATTTTATTGAGTATTTTTCTGTACTGGGGGTTGTGGAGATTCTATGTTAATTCAGCTTTCATTGACTGCAAGTCCTGAGGACTTCAAAAAAACCCTGGAAGGCAGAGAGTTTGGTTTCTTTTCTCTTTTCCTTCTCTGTAAAATTGTTTTGTTTTGTTTTGTAACATATGTTCACATGGGATTTAGAAAGACTTTAGTTCAGACTGTAATCTGAACAATCGTAGTTGGTTCTGGGCGTCTCTCTTTCTCAGTCTTGTCTATTCCATTCTGTCAGAGATCTGCTGGAATCACCTTTCTAGTGTCCTTTGCTTAAAATGCCTTATTCTGAGTTTGATTTTTAATCTCCTTGGCAAGATTTGTAAGACTTTGCATAATCTGGCCCTGACTGTCTTTGCAATATCATCTTCTCCCTCTCCCTCATTGTCCTCGGTACGTCTTGGAGTGAACTAGACTGCTTGCCATTTTTGCTTATACTGTATTTTCCTCCTCTTTTCCTCTTTTCTTCCTTCCTTCCTTCTAGAGAGAGAGAGAGAGAGAGAGAGAGAGAGAGCGCGCGCGCATGCGTGAACAGGAGAGAGGGGCAGAAGGAGAGAGAGAAAATCTTAAGCAGGCTCCAAGCTCAGCGCGGAGCCCAGCCTGGGGCTCAGTCCCGTAACTCTGTGATCGTGAGCTGAGCCAAAATCTAGAGTTGGATGCCGAACGACCTGAACCACAAAGGAGCCCCTGGATGTGCTTTCTTAAGTGCTTTTTTTGTGTTTGTGTTTGTTTTTTCACATCATCTAAAACCCTCTCCTCCGTTTCTCAGCTTTCCACTTCATGAATCTTTTCTTGCCTTTGTCCAGTTTTTAGTGGTTTTCCCCCCACCTACCTGGGTATTTGCTTTCCCCGTTGACACGGCACTGTCTGTCCAAGTGTTCGTAACTGTCGGCTTTCTTTTTTCCTGTTGGCTTTTCCTAATTACAGAAGTATTAATGCATGCTTATTGTAAACAAAATTCAGACAACACAAAAGGAAAAGTCAAAGCCCTTCTCCTTGTTCTCTTTGGATCCCACTCCTCAGTTCACAGGAATAAACAAACTCGTGCTTGGGGCACTTGGGTTGCTCAGTCGGCTCAGGTCACTCGCTCAAGTCATGATCTTACAGTTTGTGGGTTCGAGCCCTACATCAGGTTCTGTGCTGAGCGCTCAGAGCCTGGAGCCTGCTTCAGATTCTGTATCTCCCTCTCTCTCTGCTCCTCCCCCACTCATGCTGTCTCTCTCTGTCTCTCAAAATAAGTACAGAGTTAAAAAAAAATTACACTGGTGCTCATCCTTTGAGAATCTGTGTGTGTGTGCACACACACGTGTCTGTAGCCACAGATTTAAATGGCACATGTAGGTTTTTTTTTTCTTTCATTACGTAGGATCTACATATCTGCCTCCTTGTATCTCCGCATACTCTCCACACACGCGTAACTCATGTACTGTTGCCGCTCGCCTCTTTCACTGTAGTGCACATGGAGGATATGCAGATCACCGGTTGCCTTTGAATGCAGCGTCATGTTATCCGGTACCTAGTCTGTTGTGTGTTCGTGACTTATTTTATTTTACCATCCCTTGTTAGAAGACCTTTGGAGTTGTTTTTCATTGTTTTAAGAGTTCAGGCAGTGCATTAGGGAAAGTGTTTGCATACTTTTGCATTCTTAATGCAAGTATTTCTGTAGAATTTTTCATAGATTTTTAATATAGGAATTGCTCTTCAAAAAATATGTGCCTTTAAAATTGCGATAGATAGTATTTAAAATTTCATTAGATACTGTCAGCCCTAGGTGTCCCATTTCTCTAGCCCATTCTCAATGCTGGGTATTAACCATTTACACTTTTACCAATTAAAAGAAAAAATCTGTTTCAATTGGTATATTTCTTTGATGTGGTAAAGGGTGTGTGTGTAATTTTACCTTTATATTTATTCTTCTGTGACTGGCCTGTTTGTGTCCTTTGCCTATTTTTCTATTAATCGTTCCTTTCTTATTTGTATGCGTTCTTTTTAATATTGTGGCTATGAGCCCCTTGTCTGTTAGTTGTGGCACATAGCTTCTTCTAGTCCAACTTCAATTTAATAAACACTTACAACTAGAGAGCGAAGTGTTTTCTGCATGGCGTCTGTAGCTCTAGACTGAGAGCTCCCTCTTGTTGTCTTTGTGGTCTCAGCATCTAGCACCATGTCTGGTGTAGATTAAATATTCTGTAAATGTTTGCAATGAACAAAGTAGTAGAAGACGATTCTTGAAAAGAATTCAACTTCTAGTGTCACGTAACCCTGTCAAGACTTTGACAGTAAGGAAGAAAAACAGCATAGTATCTAAACTGCTATTCAGTTATGTGTTGTAGGAAGACTTGTCTATTGGGTAGCTTCCCTCAGTTAGTTCTCATCACACATCCTACCATTCACTTTCTTTTTTCTTTGATTTCTGCACTGACAAATAAATGAATTCTTTCCGGTTAGCTTAAAAGTCAAATCTGCATTATCTGTCATGGAAATACATTATTCTGTCTTCTTTTGAGACAGGCTGCTGCGTTTAGTTCAAGTAGAAATGTATTTTATCTTCTACCCAGTTTTACCTTGGATCCTAATTTTTGTTTTCTTGCCATTTCAGGTAAGACCATGAATTATGGAATTTCTTAAATGAAGCATTCAGGAATGAAGTGAAAATCATAACCTATAGACAAGAAATGATTTTTAAGTTATGTCTATCAATTTGACTATAGATATATATTATATTTACCTCCTTAGTAATGCAAGAAAACTTTGTGGGAAGCAGAGAAGCAAGCAGCTGCATTTCTTGTGCTCACCTAAACATTGCTGGAGGATAAGCTACATCGGTCTACAAAGAGGGTTTCATACAAGCAGAATAAGATGTAAATGGCCCCACAGTGAAGCACCCCCTTGTGGCAAGCACTGGTCCTCTCCCGGCCACCATGGCTTACATATTGGAATTTTGAAACTTAGCACTTCTGCCCCCAAGGGACTAACAAAAGTGAACATTCGTATGTCCCGCATTAAAAGTACTTTGAACTCCGTTTCAAAGGCTGTTTTTGGCACTCAGAATGAAATGATCTCACGTTTAGCTCAATTGAAGCCAAGTTTTCGACTATTAAGAAAAGTATCGGATAGCGGCTGGTTAAAACAGAAAAACATTAAGCAAGCCATCACCTCTCTGAAAAAGTATAGTGACAAATCCACGGAAAATACTTCTCTTTCGGAAAAGCAACGTCGTGTTCTAGATGAAGATATAGGTAAACAAAGCCTTTTTCGTTACACACGTAGGATAACCACAAAATTTGGAGAGTCATTCTACTTTTTATCAAGTCACATTAATTCATACTTCAAACGCGAGGAAAGAATGCCTCAAAAAAAGGAAAGTAAACATTTCCAGGACAAACCAGAACTTGAAGGTACAAAGGTTGAAGAAGAGAAACCTAGCTCTTCAGATCCCGGCTTCCTGGTGGGTGAGCTAGATTCAGAATCTTCCTTACCTTCGGAGGACAAGCCCGCAGGTCCCAGCGAGACACCTGAAGCTCTTCCAGTTTCTGCCAAACAGAGTATTGCCAACTTTCTTTCTCGTCCCACTGGAGGTGTACAGGCTCTAGTGGGTGGTTATATTGGTGGACTTGTCCCCAAACTGAAGTATGATTCGAAGAGTCAGCCGGAAGAACAGGAAGAGGCTGTTAAAGCCGAGCAGCCTGCCAGCAGAGACAAAAATCTGGAGGAGAAAAAGCGGTTATCTCTTCAGCGAGAAAAGGCAAGTTGTTAGCAGTGTAGCTGGAATTTTTTATTTTGATCCGATGCCTACGTTTCGTTTCCCCATGGGACCTAAGAAACATCAGTCGTTTGTTAGTATTGCTAGGGCAGTTTCATACTCTACTCATATGGGTTTTACTGTGTGGTTGTAGATCATCGCGAGAGTGAGTATTGATAACAGAACCCGGGCCTTGGTCCAGGCACTGAGAAGAACAGCTGACCCCAAGCTCTGCATTAACAGGGTTGAAGAACTGACTTTTCATCTTCTAGAATTTCCCGAAGGAAAAGGAGTGGCTGTCAAGGTAAATTCTGATTTACTGAATGTAGTTTTGTCTTGGAATAAGAGTACTAATACACTTTGTAGGAGGGAGAAGGCCAAGCCTTTCATTGTCGTCATTTGCATATTTTTGTGGTTTTATCGTACATATGATGTGTTATAGAGTGAGTAATTGCCCCAGTTATTCTGTGATATATATTGTGATAAATCCTCTTTTATTCTGTGATGATACATTATGCTATTGGTACTACTATCTATACTTTGAGCTGAAACATTTTACAATAGAAGATAAAACTCATTGCATTCATTGAATTGCCAAATAGTTGCCAAGTTTTTCTAAAATGCAATGTAGGTGTTTATACCATACTTCTACTCTAAAAGACGGGAGATATAATTCACAAGTAAAACCATTGCGAATTTTTATATCATGATCTTTTTGTATTTGCAGATCTAAAAATGTTAGTGATCTTAATGATAATTGGTAATTATTTTAATAAAACAATGAGCTTTTCTTGGTCTTGCTTTTTTCAAATATAAAATAGTGAAGCTAAATTAGACCCATTTAAACGCTGTTTCCAGAGAAATAGTATAAAATATGAATGATGTGGTTAAGTTTCTGTAAATCTCTACTGCTAAGATGATTTGTAATATCTAATGAACAATTTACAAATATATAATAAATAGATAATGTTAACATTGAATTAGAGATCTGCTAACTTGCCATTCAGAAATCTTTAACTTCATTCATATTTATTCCTTTTTTTGACAACCATCTTGCTGAAGCATTATCTAATTCTTTAAATAAGTTGCCCTTTTGTAGTTTTATATTGAATAATTCATACATAACGATGTATGTAAGCTAAACTTTAGAATTTCATGTTAATAAAGTTGGGGATTATCTTTCATAGCTACTTAATCTCTTACCTAAAAGACAAATCTCCCAAATATGCTTTTAAGTCCGATTAACATTTCAGGGATACACTGAAAGCAGAGATCTGAAGTAGAGTTGCAGTCTTTAAAGAACTTTTAAAAACTGTTTTACTGAAGTGTAATACACATGTGGTTATTGGTATAAAGTTCAGTGAATTTTTCACAAACTAGACGCCTCCGTGTAACTGATGCGCAGATGAAGAACAGAATTTACCGGCGCTTGAGAAGCCTCCCTTGTGCCCCCTTCAGTCACAATCTCCCCAGATTAGTTTAGACTGGATTAGTTTTGCTTGCTTTTGTATATTATATAAGCTGCTGTGATTGATTTTTTTCTTTCACTCAGCATAATTTTAGTAACCATTCACATTGTTAGGGGTAGTTGTAGACCATTCACATTGTTATGGGTAGTTGTAGACCATTCATTCTTGGTTTTTTGTTCCATGGTGTGAGTGTATCACAGTTTAGTTAATGTACTCCTGGTGGGTATATTTCGGTTTTAGTCTATTATGAATGGTCATCCTAATAGAAACTCTGAGGGCTCTTTTATTTTGCATCACTGATCCCAAATCTGAGGACCTTTCAATAAAGGTTAGCGTGATACAGGAATATATATTCAGATCAATTATGAATGACAAGCTAGATAGTCTGAAAAAAGTTTCATCATGACCCTAAATAAGAAGTACCTCAAAAAGAATGAACTTGATAAATGAAGACATGTTAACATGTACACTTTCATGGGATCTTTCCCAATGAAATAAATAAAAATGTAACCTTTTATTATAAAAAAAAAAAAAGGACTGGGTAAACATAAAGAATAAGGAAAAAAGCACTAACTAACGGTGCTAACAGGGTGAAGCCTGCTTGTGAATCTGACTCTTTCCCCGTATCTCCCCAACTTGTTTTCTCTCTCTCTCTCTCTCTCTCTCTTTCAAAATGAATAAACTTAAAAAACCAAGGCATCCCTTAACATTAAAAAAAAAAAGATAACGGATTTCTCCAACCCAGAAATTACCACTGTAAATGTATTATGGTCTCTTGTATTAATCAGAGGATGCTGAGTTAGACTTAATAACAAACAGTACCAAAATCGAAGTGGCTTAACACAACAGAAGCTTCTTTGTCCATTGTGCAACGTGGTCCAGGGGTTTGGGTGACTCTCCAGGACAGCGAAAGTCTGTGTGGTGGCTGCCTTGACCTTGTTCTCTTATGTGTCCGTGCGAGGCCTTCCTCCATGATCTCTAGCAGGTAAGAGAGGATTTCAGCAGAAAGTACCACAGGTTTCTTCTCCTCAGGACTTACTTATCGTGCCTGCAGTACTGCCTTTGTGTGCTTGCAAGGGGGATCAAACCGGGTATTGGGGAACGTTAGTAGCATCTACCACAGTATTTCTCTAGAAACTGTTCTGGGTATGCATACCAAAATAAAGTCATTATATCTGTACTGTTTTATAGCTTTTTAAAAATTTTGTTAGTTTTTTTTTTTTCCAGTTCATAATGTACACCTTTCTGTATGAGTACATTTTCATTTCCTCCAATACCCAGGTTGAAGAAGTCCTTTATGTAACTGATAGGATCCAAATGAGGGTCCAGTCTAGACCGTGCATGCCCTCTGGTTATTTCCCCCAAGTCCCTTCTAGCACTGTTCTTCCTTACCTCATCTCCAAAACTCATTGAAGAGACCAGGCTGGTCATCCTGTAGAATCGTTCACTTTCTTGATTTACCTGGCTTCCTCCTCATTGGGGTTATTTGATGTATTCCTCTCTCCTTTTTACTTCCCAAACACTGGAATTTAAATATAAAGATTTGGTTGGGTTAAACATTTTTTTGTTAGAGAACATTGTATATGATGTCACGGGCCTCACCTTGTATCCTATCAGAACATAATCGGTTGAAAAACCATTAGTAATGCTAATGTTGACTCGTGCATCAGTGTGATGACAGTCTGATCTCATTGGATGGTTAGGCTAGCACCGAAATCCCATCGCCCATTAACCTAATTGTTCCCAGAACTAGTCATTTCTTTAGGGTTGCAGAATGATAAATTTCTAAATGTCACTCAGTCTGCATTGTAATTGACATTCTTTGTAAAAGTAGAGCTTTCCTTTACCAGCTAAAGCTATCTGGTTTCTCTCAAAGACCGATTTTACAGGATAAGCAAGAGAAATTTAGTCACCAGTTTTCAAAGTAAAGAGATGCTTTCAAAGCCACCTCATTAGTGACATGAATTTTTTTTGTTTTGGCCTTTCTAAAAAGCTATCATTAGGAATTCCTGGTCTTCCGTGAATTGTGTTATCATAATTTTTTTTTCTCCCCCTCCATTTTTTTGAATGCTGAATTCATCTCTGCTTTGATTGGTAGGATCCCCAAGCTCATTCATGTGACCTTTTTTAACTTTTTATAAAACAAGTATGGGCAGAGAAGAATATGTTAAGTATGCAGCTCCATGAATTTTCAAAAATTGAAAACATCCATAAAACCCTCATCCAGTATAAGAAACAGAATGATAGCAGCACTCCCAAAAGCCCCTCTGTGCCCCCTTCCGGTCACTGTCTCTGAAAAGATTGACCAGTTTTCCTGATTTTTAGCAGCATAGATAAGTTGTGCCCTTTTTTGCATGTTGTACAAATGGAATGATGCAGTATGTGTTTTTTAGGTGTTTTTCACTTGACATTATTTGTGTGAACCTTCTCTGTTGGGTATGGTCGTGAAACATTCTCACTGTGGTGTTTTCTGTGGTATGAATATAGTGCGGTGTATTTATCCATGTTACTGCTGATGGACATTTGGATAGTTTCCAGTCTGGGAATATTTAGGAATAGTGCTTCTGGGGCATATCTTTTGGGGAGATACAGGTCTTTATTCTTTGGGAGTGTATACCCTCTTGAGGAGTTAGTATTCCTGGTCATGAAGTATGCCTCTTTTCATCTTTAGCAGATACTGCCAAATGGCTTTGCAAAGTGTTCATGCCACTTTATACTTTTGCCAAAATTGTGTCAGCCTTCTGGTTGTTCTGCTTCCTCTCCAGCAGTTTTATTTCTTTTAATTTTAGCCATTTTGTTAGCTGTTTAGCGATATTGTGGCTTTAGATTGTGGTTCTCTGATAAACTCTGAAGTTTAGCACCATTTCCAGTGTTTATTGGCCATTTGTATACTTCCTTTGTGAAGTGCCTGTTCTAGGTCTTACTTGTTTTCCATTGGGTTGACCAGTTTTTTCTTAGGATTTGGAGAATTTCTTTGTTATGGATAGAAGTTTTTATATGTATAGTATATATTACATAAAATATGTATAGCATGTATATGACATATAATATATAATGGTAATATATAATAGCTACATATATCTTTTTTGTAAAAGTATTTTCCCGATCTTTGAGTTACCTTTTAAAACTAGTTTTTCTGTCTTAACCAATCCCAGTTTTTCAGTCTTTTGTTTCTTTCCCCAATGATCAAATGCCTCAAGAGAAGAAAAACTATAGTTTGTGAGCTCACTTTTTAAAAATTTATTTATTTAAATTCAGGTTAGTGGACACACAATATAGTATTTGGGAGTAGAACCCAGTGATTCATCACTTACATACCATACCCAGTGCTCAACCCAACAAGTCTCCTTAATGCCCATCACCCATTTAGCGCATGCCCTCTAGCAACCCCCAGTTTGTTCTCTGTATTTAAGAGTCTCTTATGGTTTTCCTCCTTCTCTGTTTTTATTTTCTTTTTCCTTCCCTTCCCGTATGTTCATCTGTTGTGTTTCTTAAATTCTATGTAGGAGTGAAATCATATGATATCTGACTTTTCCTGCCTGACTTATTTCACTTAGCATAATACAGTCTTGTTCCATGTTGTTGCAAATGGCAAGATTTCATTCTTTTTGCTCTCCAAGTAGTATTCCATTATACATATATATATATGTATGTGTATATATATATGTATATATATATATATATATACACCTCATCTTCTTTATCCATTTGTCAGTAGATGGACATTTGGACTCTTGCCATAATTTGGCTATTGTCAATAGCGCAGCTATAAGCATTGGGTGCTTTTGCCCAATTTATTTGCCCCTTTGAATCGTTATTTCTTCTTCAGATTCTTGGCCTCCCTTGTCCTCATTGCTTCTGCAGCTTTTAAATAGATATTTTTTGTCTTTTATTAAACTTTTCTAGTTGTTCTTGGAAAGAACAACTTGTTCTACCCTAACCAAAAATGGAAATTTACATTCCCATGCTCCACCATGGTTCAAGGTTCTTCTAGTGGGGCCTTGAAGCTCGACATTAGTCTGGGCAAATAAAACAACCGAAAAAAGATTTAGAACAATAGTAGTTCAGATTTGATTGGTCATAAAAAAGAAATAAGATGAATGAAACATTGGGATTTTTTTTAATTTACTGAAGATTACAGAGCACAAGTGTAGCTGCTACTCAACTTTTCCCTGAAACTAGGGGTATTGACCATGTGAGACTTTCTGTGTACAGAACCTAGAAGTCTTTGGTAAACTCAGTATAGAACTCTACAATCTAAGCTCTTGCCTCTGATCAACAATATGAACACTCGGAGTCTTGAAGTCCTAGTTTTGTTTAAATGGATTATTTATATATTGTAATGAATTTGAAGCTTTTGCCTTCTACCTTAGTTTGATTTATTAACTGACATTTGTTTATATTTCACTATGAATTACCCTTATATCCTATGTACACAAGATGGTTTATGTTTTTCTTTTGATAACAAGTTTAATTTCCAGTAATTATTATGAAGCAGTTTCATCTTCTTCAGGATTTGGAGAAAATATTTCATGTAATTACAATGTTAATCTTTTGTGCTTAACAATACTGTATAAATTTGTGTTAAACACATTATATTTTTTCTAATTATTAAACATTGTATTTTTTAAAGAAAATATTTGGATTGAGGTTAATTTTTAACCTAGATATTAGAAGAAATATATTTTGAATATTAATTGACAATAATATATTAAAAAGTCATCATTTAAGATTACTGAGAAATTAATAAACACTGTGATTATATATGATTGATCTATATGTGTTGGTTAAAAATAGTCATACATTTTCACTCTTGATTTGACAAAAGCAATAAAATATGCTTTCTCCCAATACAGGAAAAAGTTATTCCATATTTATTACGATTGAGACAGATTAAGGATGAAACTCTTCAGGCTGCTGTTAGAGAAATTTTGGCCTTGATCGGCTATGTGGATCCAGTGAAAGGAAGAGGAATCCGAATTCTTTCAATTGATGGTGGAGGGACGAGGTGAGGCTAGAAGAATGTTTTTGGTTTTTTTAAACATTTTTATTTTTGAGAGAGAGGGAAGGAGCACGTGCGTAAGCTGAGGAGGGGCGGGGAGAGAGGGAGAGAGAGAATTCCAAGCAGGCTCTGTGCTGACAGACCAGAGCCCAGCACAGGACTTGAACCCATGAACTGTGAAATCGTGACCTGAGCTGAAATCATGAGTCGAATGTTTAACCAGATGAGCCACCAGGTGCCCCACAAAAATTATGTTTTAAATCTGCTGATTCAGTTCAGCCTTAGGAGTTTTTTTTTTAACTGATTCTATGTAACTATAGTAACTACGTCATTATAAAGCCAAATTTTTGAAACAGAACATTAGTTTTTCTTGTTACTTTACCAATCTAAGAGCTTCTTTTATATATACCTGGATTTGCTTTTATTTTCATTTGATTCAAAATTTATTTCAGTTTGGTCTTTTCCGGCCTTTTTGGTAGTTCAGGACGTTTTACCAACCGTGACTATTCAAATCTTGGCAATGTCTTATAATCGTTTTCTTTCATTATATTTATCTTACCCGTATTTATCAGCTGACTAGTCACTTCCTTAAGCGATGGTTATGAAAGGAGTCTGTATCAGTGACTTCCTGACTCCCTACCTTCTTCATTTGCAGACAGCAGTTCTGGTGCTACCAGCACTGTCTAAGCCTTCTCAGCTCAGAAGGAGACTGTTTCACCATCAGACTCCATCCTTGCTGCTGGCCGTTCGTCCTCGCTTCTTGTTTTTCTTCCTCACTACTTGTTGGTTAGATTCTTCAGTGTTCGCCTCCCCCCATGTTTTCTAGCTTGGGTTCTAGTTTCCTACCACCTCTGCCCTTCCCTCTTAAACTCATCGTACACGCCCAGCCTGTTGCTCTTAGCTTACTTTGCCTCCCTTATTTTGTCCTCCAGTCTTCCCATCTTGACACTTAGTGTTTTGTATGTCGAAGTACCACCCTCACCTTTTTGTTAAATTCTAACATCCCGTGTGCCAGCCAGATTCTTTTAATTTTGACACCAATGTGAGTGAAGGAGTGGATGAAGAGAGAAGAGACTATTTAATAATCTAAGCAGAGGACAATAAAATAACAACCTAAGATGGTGGCAGTGGGAAGCAGGAGGAAGGAAAAATATGTAAGAAAACTTTGAAGAAAAAGGGGTTTGGATAGAGTTGAAAAATGTCAAGATCACTCTTAAATGTAGACCCTAGGGATGATTGGGACAGAATTGCAAGGGACTGGGAGGAGGTGTTTGGTATTGAGAAAGACCGTTCTGTCTTGCACACATTGCCTCTAAGGCTTCACACAGCAATATGGAAGTGCTGAGTTGGCAAATGAAGGTGGAATTGATGGAGGAGAGAAAAGTCTTAGAAGATCTTTGGGATGTTTCTTACAGAAGTGAAATTCCAGAAAGTGAACATTATTCATATGATAGGTAAAGTGGTAATGAGTTGGAGAGAATCATTTTAGTTCATAGAATTAGTTCCAGGTAATGAGAAGTAAGGAGAGTAGCGGTTGTGTGAGTAAGGAATTTCACCGAGGAGCAGGTAGAAGCCAGTGCTCTTCTGCCATTAAGTTCAGAGCATTTGGGAAGGATGGTTATCACTTATTGAATCTTACAATTTATTGAGTTAGCTAATGCATTGAGTGCCTGCCGGGTTCTACGCAGTGTTTGGATCCTGGGGTCACTCAGTAAGCAAAACCCAAGTCTTCATGGTACTTGTGTTCCAGGGGAGGAAAAAGGACAAATAGGAAAAAAAAATGTATTTTGGAGTAGTAATGGGTGTTATGAAGAAAAGTAAAGCAAAGTAATCAAGAGTAACAGTGCTGTTTTGTACTGTCAGTAAAAGACAAATTATGGAAAGAGCCCAAATGTCCGTCAACTGATGAATGGACAAAGAAGATACAGTATAGGGGCCCCTGGATGGCTGACACAGTGGAGCGTCCAACTCTTGGTTTTGGGTCAGGTCATGATCCCAGGATTGTGGGTTTGAGCTGGGTGCTGGGCTCCACACTGCGCGTGGAGCCTGCTTCGGGTTCTCTCTCCCACTGCCCCATCCGCCAGTCATGCCTTTCTCTCTAAAGAAAATTAAAAGAAAAATGTGATACATATATGTATGTGTGTGTATGTATATGTGTGTGTATGTATATGTATGCACATATACACAGTAGAATATCACTCAGCTATCAAAAAAAATGAAATCTTGCCGTTTGCAGTGATGTGGATGGAATCAGAATGTATTATGCTAAGCGAAATAAGTCAGCCAAAGACAAATACCATGTAGTTTTGCTCATGTGGAATCTACGAAACAAAACAGATGAACCTAGTGGGGAGAAAAGGAGAAATAAGATAGAAACAGAGAGGGAGGCGAACCGGAAGAGACTCTGAAACACAAAGAACAAGTAGGGTTGCTGGAGGGTGGCCGGTGGGGGGGGGGGGTGGGCTCAGTGTAGGCTGGCAGTGAGGAGGGGCCTTGTGCCGGGCACCGGGCGTGTACACGTCAGTGATGAGTCACTAAATTCTGCTCCTGAAACCGGTACTACAGTGTATATTCACTAACTTGAATTTAAACAGAATCTTGGAAAGAAAAGAAAAAGAGTAACAGTGCTATTGTAAAGAGTGATCGTGACTAACTTTTTTTCCATTTAAAAAAATTTGAGATATTAACTTATTATGTGTCAGGCGTACAACACAATGATTTGATATCTGTGTATTTGGCAGAATGTTGATAGTAAGTCTTGTTAACATCCATCACCGCACATAGTTAACAATGTTTTGTGTGTGTGCTGAGAACATTGAAGATCAGTTCTCGTAGTAACTTTCAAATATGCAACACAGTATTATTGACTATGTCACCATGTTGTACCTTACATCCTTCAGACTTATTTATTATCTAACTGGACGTTTGTACCTTTTAATCTCTTCACCCATTTTGTCAACCCCATCCACCCACCACCGTGGGCAGCCACCAGTGTGACTATGACTTCTCGTCGAAGAAGTGACATTTGAGTAGAGATCTGAAGGGAACAGTCAGGAACATTCAGCTATCCATGTAGAGTGAGGGAGGGATGTTGACAAGAGGTTTGAGACCAATAAGTATTTGGTTTTCTAGACTGGAGCTGTGTTAGTCATTCAGGGAGGAAATGGGAGTGAAGACGTTCGGGGACATCTGGAGGTGAGTTAGGATGCGGGGAGGTTTAGATGCGTAGTTCGCCACCGGAGGTGATTTTACCGCTAGAGGACATGTGTCAGCGTCTGGGGGCTTGTTGGGTTGTCGCAGCCCGGGGGCTGCCCCTGTCATCCGGTAAGACGAGGGTGGTGGCTGCAGGGCACAGGACAGCCTCTGTGGCACAGAGTTGTCCGGCTCGTGATGTCACTCGTGCTGCCGTCAGGAAACCTCGGTTTAGGGTAACGAGAAAGCAGCTGGAATGGGAAGTTCATGCTGAAAGGAGGAAGGTGTGAGGCCTTGTGAGGAAAAGAACCTGATTCTTTTCTGTGTTTTGTATATGAGAGCCTGGTACCATGTTAGGCTGACAGAATCAACCTGGCGAGGATATTTATTTTTAAATTTGTCCTGAGGTAATTTATAAATACAGCATTTTAAAGTAGTTTTCTTTCTCATTATACAAGTAAACTTAGGAGGAAAAAAAAAAACATAAGGAGAAGTAAACAAAAATTGTAGCTCACGATTCCCAGATGACTTTTAATATTTTGATTTTTTCAAATATTTTTTCTTGCCCGAATATATATATGTGCATTTTTATTTCTTTTTATGTGATAATGGAGGTCATATTGTTAAGTAGATTTGTCCAGCATTATCTCTAATTCTTCATGTCCTTTCACTTTGATTTCATAATGTATCTCTTTAATAAGCCATCTTCTCTTACCTCTCTTTAAATCCATAGTATTTCTTAAAATTAAAAAAAAAATCAGCATCTTTGGTTTTCTGTTTTAATCTTAGAATATTGTCTAGTGATTTCCCATGAGCAGTAGCAAAGCACAGTTGGACAGTCTAAATTTTATTTGCCAGACCCTGCCTGCCACTCCGGTTCTCTGCCCCGCATCTTGTATTGGGTTTAGACCATCTCACGGTGTCTGCATCTCCTCCTCCTGTTAAGAATTGCTCACATCTCACGCACTTCCTGAATTGGCCCACCCTCCTGGCCTGTTTCAGTTTTCACATTTATCATCATGCTCTCTGCTGCCTTGGCAAAGATCGAGAGATGAGCAAAGCCAGCAGCATAAATTATCTTAAATGTAGGGCATTATCTTAAAGTTGACAGTTTGAAAAAATGATAAATAAAAGAAAACTTTAAAAGTATGACTAGCGAAATGGAGAAAATGAAAATACATAGAAACATAGGTAACCAGGTTACATCGGAGAGAGAAGAAACCACCAGTGTGTGGCGTTCCAGAACTGGAGAAAGGAGGTTTTAAGTCCCCACAGCCGGCGTGTTAGAAATACGTAGTTCACACCAGCACGCCGCTGTAGTCTTCGTCACAGAGGTACCAGTAGAAATGTAAAAATGCGTTGCTATAGCACACGTTTTATACCATTATTTAGATACTTGGGTTTTCGAACGCAACCTTAAAAACAGGCTGTTTTTACCGATGTTAATTTATATCATTGATATTTGTGTTGGCGCATGAGCTACAAAGGCAACTTGTGGGCTTGTTTTATTCAATACTTAATTTCCTTGAAACAGGGGCTTTTATTTTCCCTCCCGTGCGCAGGGGCGTGGTTGCTCTGCAGACGCTGCGGAAGCTGGTTGAGCTCACCCAGAAGCCAGTACATCAGCTCTTCGACTACATCTGTGGTGTGAGCACAGGTAGGCTCTGTCGTCGCGCGGAAGTAGCGCCTCCCCGCAGCACACATGTAAAGCCCACGTTTACACTTCTGGCCATTCTCCCAAGTGGCGGGTCCTCCTTCTATGTTTTGGTAATGAGGAAATCTTTGATTGGCTTACCGAACTTCAGAAAATGTTTATTGGGAATACGGTAACATTCAGAGGTGGTCTTTAATGTGCTTTTCTAATACGTTTTAAGTAAGTCACGGTGACGAGCGCAAACTACGAATCATTGCCTTACGGTATAGTCCCCTCAAGGAAAGTGATAAAGCGGAAGGAAGGTAGGGACCAAAGTTGTACTTGAACCGATAGGATGTTAAAGATGGATATGATTTTACTTTTTTGTGAGACGTGTCCCTCTGTGAGGAACTTGCTTTTGATAACATTTTTTGGTCTGGTTGTTTAAAGCCTGAATTTACATCAATAAATGCGAGAATCTATGTTTTTTAAAGCCTGCTTCTTGATATTGCTAGGTACATTTAAAATTGTAGTTTCATATTTGTTGTAGAGGAAATTGGCAACTTAGGATATGATTGTTACTGAATAATTTCTTCGTTCCATCAGGTAAATTTTTGGTTTTTCTGTTTCCTTACATGAGCTCTGTCACCCATCCCTCCACCCACACCCACCCAGTGTATGCATTGAGCCCCTTGGGGTACACACAGCTATTGTTTACCCACCTCGGTAACATTCAGGAACTATTAGGACTGTGGGCCCTTGCTGTGTATTTTACTTTTTGACCTGATAATTTCTCAGTTCATGTTAGTTGGTCTTCATAGGCTTTTATTTCTATTTTTTCTCATTCTCTTGAATCAAAACAATATTAAAGACTGCTAGGAACAAAATCAAATGATTTCTCCACATTATGTGTGTCGGGTATGCCCAGTAGGCCCAAAGGGCATATAATTGATGTTCAGTTGCGGAAACTTAACGAAAGCAGTTAAAAGGAATGATTCAAACACCTAAGGAATTAGTGATTCTTCCGGTGTTCCATGGAATGAACACTAAATCCCCAAGACATTAGGTTACAGGAAGTTGTTGGGTTGTAGGAAGTAATACAGGTTTCTTTACACAGGGACTTCTGAGATACTTTAGTGTATTAAAAATGCATTGGGGGTGCCTGAGTGGCTCGGTCGGTTGAGCGTCCAACTCTTGATTTCAGCTCAGATCATGATCCCGGGGTCCTGGGATCGAGCCCCTCTGCAGGCTTCGCGCTGAGTTCAATAAAAATGTGACTCTCAGGATAGGAGAATAATACTTATTTCTCAATTTGATTTAACTATAGAAACTTTTTTTAAAGAGACATTCCCCAGGGTAGTGTTCTTTGGCACTTGTTTTGCAGCTTTACCCTGACCATTTCTGTTAAATTTTGTAGTAGTTCTTAACAATACACCCATTTAAACAAGCGAACTTCTTGCTTTGGCACCATTGTTAGTAGGAGGATGCTCAATAAAGACAATTTAAGATCACAGAGATTCATCATCCAGGGAGCGGGACATCTGTGTATTTGACATGTACATTTCTGTATTTATCACGAACTGCCTTTTCCATTGTGTCTTCTGGCTTGCATTCACCTTAACTCCCAATACAGTGCTTATAGTTTTCCTTTTTTCCATTTTGTATATTCTAATGTAGAAATTTTCTTTGCATTTAGAATTTTTATAGGCTTAATAAATATATTTAATTTAAGGGTGATATCCTTCCTGGTTCACTAAATTTTGTTTTAAAATAATATGCTCATCTTATAGTAGCTGTACTTGAAAGGAACTTAATTTTTGGCAGCTTATTTCTTGTGTTAACTAGAGATTTCTGCAAGTTGAAAAAAAAAATAATTTCTATTACATAGTTATGCCATACAATTTAATTTGAAACCTAAGCTGCCCTATCTTTTACTAGAAAAAGACCGAGGATAATAAAATATTTAAAGCTCATTATGATAATGAGTTTCTGTTTTTTTTTGTTTACAATGTCAAAATAAACTGTGATACCTTATCGATCTTTGCCCCCAATCCCCCAAAGCTTTCTCGCTTATTTTCTCCTTAGTTTGGGGTTATGCCAGTTAGATACACTAGGTGGCAGTGTGTCCTACCCGTGCAGCTAGAATATGAAATCGGCTGTTAAAAAAAGATAGGATTAGAGACCTAATTTCTTTTTCTTAAATCTTTTAATGTTTGTTTTTGAGAGAGAGAGAGAGCAAGCGCTGATGGGGGAGGGGAAGAGAGAGAGGGAGGCAGAATCCAGAGAAGGCTCTCTGCTATCAGTGCAAAGCCCGATGTAGGACTCGAACTCCTGAACTGTGAAATCGTGATCTGAGCTGAAGAAGGATGCTCAACCGACTGAGTCACCCAGGTGCCCCGAGACTTAATTTCTTTAATTATTTTAGTTCCCTGGACCAACTTGAAGGAGTAATTATTTCAGTGAACTGGTAAGTTGTAAGGAATCTATTAAGGTTAGAAAGAACATCATTGACCACAACTTAATTATGTGTTATTTGATTTAATGTAAAACAGCCATTTTTTATATTTTAAAATTGATCTTCATCATCATTGGTTGACATTTAGTCCTTATTGAGGCCGAGTAAAGACCTTTACCTGTGTTAATCTCAGTATAAAAGCATGTATACATTTTAGTTGTCTTTGTTTTGTAGATTAAAAACTCGGGGCTCCGGCAGGTTAAGTTTGTCCCAGGTGACACCCAGGTGACACAGAGTGTTGAAGCCGGGGCACCCGGGGGGCTCAGTTGGTTAGGCTTCCGATTTCGGCTCAGGTCATGATCTCATGGTATGTGGGTTTGAGCCCTGTATCGGGCTCTGTGCTGACAGCTCGGAACCTGGAACCTGCTTTAGATTCTGTGTCTCCCCCTCTCTCTGCCTCTACCCTGCTTGCTCTCTGTCTCTCAAAATAAAATAAAGACATGAAAAAAAAGTGTTGAAGCTAGAATTTTAACCAAGTCTGTGACTTGGGAAGTCTTATAAGTACTGTAATGTCTGATAAAAACTAAGCATTCTTTCTCCCAGGTGCAATATTAGCATTCATGTTGGGATTGTTTCATATGCCCTTGGATGAGTGTGAGGAACTTTACCGAAAATTAGGATCCGATGTGTTTTCACAAAATGTCATTGTTGGAACAGTCAAAATGAGTTGGAGCCATGCATTTTATGACAGTCAAACATGGGAAAATATTCTTAAGTAAGTTATAATTACTTTTTTAATGTTTGAGTATATAAATAATATGTACATATAATTTTAAAAGAATATTAAAATCTTGATACCAGTAATTAGAGATGACCCCTGTTACTATTTTGGTGTGTAATTCCACTCACCATTTTTTTGAGCTCATGTGTGAGATTTGCATGTAGAAGTTCCATTTGCCTTTCTAAGAATTAAGATCTATGTAAGAATTGAGATCATATTATAGATAGACATGTTTACACCTGTTGTTTCTATTGAACATATGAGTCTTTCTCAAGTCATTAACAAATATTCTTCTAAAACATTAATAATTTTTAAAAATTTTTTCCAGGATACTACAAAGGCATTATACTCACTTTCCAAAAATATAAGCATAAAGTTGAAACCTTTAAAATCACCCACAATCCTATTCAGAGCTGTGGACCTTACAATATATTTTCTTCTAGTCTTTATTCTAGATTCCATACGTTTTCATATATGTTTCATATAGCACAGATTATATTGTAGTTGCAGTTTTAAATTTTTTTTTTAATGTTTTATTTATTTCTGAGAGAGAGAGAGAGAGAGAGAGTGAGCAGGGGAGGGTCAGAGAGAGAGAGACACACACAGAATCTGAAGCAGGCTCCAGGCTCTGAGCTGTCAGCACAGAGCCCGACGCGGGGCTCGTACCCATAAACTCTGAGATCTTGACCTGAGCCAAAGTCGGACGCTTAACCGACGGAGCCCCCCAGGCGCCCCTGTAGTTGCAGTTTTATATCCTTGCCCTATTTCCAACTTTATGAAAATCTCTTGACAAATTTTTAAAGACTACGCTCTGCAGTGTGATGGTATCATATTTTCTGAACCATTTACGTTTAGGGTATTTATGTTCTTAATTTCTTGTGATTATGAACGATACTTCTGCAGGCTTAACTGTATAATAAAGGCCCGTAAAATAGACTGTAAGGCCCGTCTCTCTGTTAGGAAGCATGTGTTTTCCCCCTTTCGTTACTCATTAGAGTATCTTCATATATTTGCATATTGCTATTTCGGTGAAGGTTCTCCATAGCCTTCCTTATTTTTAATCTCAGCATTAATGACCTTTCTAAGTGTGGTTAGTTATTTTTCTTTCCCTATTTTTTCACCTAGCTTTTGCTGCAAAGCATACCACTACAAAACTTAGTGGTTTATTTATTTAAAAATTTTTTTTAATGTTTATTTTTGAGAGAGTGAGAAACAGAGCACGAGCAGAGGAGAGGAAGAGAGAGAGAAGGAGGCACAGAATCTGAAGCAGGCTCCGGGCTCTGAGCTCTCAGCACAGAGCCAGACACGGAGCTCAAACTCACAGTGAGATCATGACCTGGGCTCAAGTCGGATGCCTAACCAACTGAGCCACCCAGGCGCCCCAAAACATAGTGGTTTAAAACAGCCTGATTCTGTGTTGGGGTCATTTCTTCTGTTCTTGTCTGAACTCACTCCCACTCACACCACGGCTGAGATGGCCCAGGCGCCGGTCTCCCTGTCCATGCGGTCACTCTCATTCCGGACTTCATCCCATTAGAGTGGTCTGAGTTTCAAGAGGGCAAGCCCCAGTGCGGGAGTATTTATCAAGCCTCACCTTAATGACATGTTTGCTGATGTCCTCTTGACAGCAGCCCCTGAAACCTAAGCTCTGGGAAGGGACTGTATACGAGGATATGGACATCAGGAAGTGCTGTTCATTGGGGGTCGTTATGGTTCCTACCACATCTACTCTCTGGCTTATTTATTTATTTATTTAGTCTTTTGTTTCTCTTATTTATTGAGAGCATATTTCTGCCTTTTTTTTCTCCCTGTGATCCTTTTGTGTTATTTTAGGGACACTTTTCAATTATACCATCAGTAGAATCTAGAAATGTTGACTTTTTATTTTTTTATTTTTTTGTTTTTTCACATCTCTCTGAAATAAGCAATTAGTGTTCCTGACTTTCTCTTTGAATATTATATTCATAACTTCACTAAAGCATTTTACCTCTGTTTATAAAATCAAGGTTCAAAAAAAACCCAAATGTGAATTTTTGTTTTTAAATGTTTTTTATTTATTTCTAGGTGAGAGAGAGAGCGTGAGCAGGGAAGGGTCAGAGAGAGAGGGAGACACAGACTCTGAACAGGCTCCAGGCTCTGAGCTGGCAGTCAGCACAGAGCCCGACGCTGGGCTCGAACCCACGAACCGCGAGGTCATGACCTAAGCGAAAGTCGGACGCTTAACCGACTAAGCCACCCAGGCGCCCCTGTGAATTTTGCTTAAACTGTAAAAGCAGCCTGCTCCCAGGGTCTTTGTCCCAATTTTAGAGCACGAGTTTTATGAAAAGATAAAGATCATTGAAAGAATTCAATTGCATTGGTCTTCACGCAGATGAAACATATAGGTCAGGTTCAGGAAGACAAAGATCTTGTCCGCTTTAGAAAGTATTTTACATTGATATTTATAAAAGATTGTGTGGGGTAGATCATCACCTAATTTGTGCATACTACTTATATGTGAAACTCAGTAATACTAATACTCTATTTGAGAATCATGAATATTGTTTGAAAAAAATGTCATTAGAAACATGTTTTTTCTTTTTGAGGCAAGTTGGCAAAAAACCTAGTCCTTGTATTCAGTAGAGGGGGAAAATACATATTTGTAAGCCAGGAAAACAATCTGCTCTGAAATAAAACTCCCTTATAATGGAATTGTGGAAATTGCTGCCTGAGGACATTATCTGTAACGTTGCAGTGATTCACGTGCCAGCTCAGATGATTTAAAAAGCATTTTTTAGAAATGACATTGGCTCTTATTAAAACAGGTTTAAAGTCTAAATGTCCTGATCTGGTCTGTAACTACTCTATGTACTCAGGCAGTTTTATGTGAGCACAGCTCCTTTATCCTGTCAGGAGGACCCGGAAAACAACAGGTTTATTCTGCCTCCGTGCCTTTACCCCCCGCATGTCCTGGCTTTGGGTGTGTTTCCTGCGGTCCTTCTCAAGCCACCCCTCCATGCAGCCTGGACTGATTCCGCACCCCCTCCCCACCCCCCCACCCCCGGAACTATAGATACTGGCAGTTCAAATCAGCTTAACAAATAACTATATGTTGTTTCATGTGCATTAATGGTACTATACAGCAGCTAGAGGGACCTTGTTTTTTATATTTCTTGTTTTTATATTTCTTTTTTGTCATTCATAGTCCTTTGACAAAGCCCTGAGCAAATAGTATTTTCATATTGTATGTTCCATGATGTTGGGAGATAAAATCATTTTGATATAATTTAATTTTCTCCTTTATAAAGGGATAGGATGGGATCCTCACTAATGATTGAAACAGCAAGAAACCCTACATGTCCTAAGGTAAGTTTAGAGTCTAAAATATAACACAAAGTTGGAATTGAAGGTCAGGTGAAAGCACTTAGGCCCTTTCTTTATTAAAGAAAACATTTCTTAGGAACGTCTTTTTATAGATTATATTGATTTCTTACATCTTGAGCCATTCTGTGAAGATACAGGATGTGTTCATTAGACCTCTTCTAAAATTTTTTTTAATGTTTATTTATTTTTGAGAGAGAGTTAGAGTGTGAGCAGGGGAGGGGCAGAGAGAGAGGGAGACACAGAATCCAAAACAGGCTCCAGGCTCTGAGCCGTCAGCACAGAGCCTGACACGGGGCTCAAACAGACAGACTGTGAGATCATGACCTGAGCTGCAGTTGGATGCTTAACTGACTGAGCCACCCAGGTGCCCCATTAGACATCTTCTGTTTCCAGTAAGAGTACAGCAGAAGTTTAGGAACATGAAAGACTAGGACTAAAGATAAGAATTATTTTATTACAAGGTTAATCAAATCTAGTGGTTTAAGAAAAAGTCTGGCATTTCTTCCCCTAAGATTTTTAAAAGAAATGTTATGTGCTGGTAGCTATATGTTAGGTTAACATGCAAATGCAACCTAAATTTAAAAAGTGTTAATGCCACTGGGAGATGTCTCAGTGTGTCTGCTCTTTTCATTTGTTTTGTTTGAAGCCCAGTGATCTGAGTATTGCTTGAGTTTTGTGTTCTTTCATAATACTTGTTATTTAAAGAAGGAATAGGATTTATGTCCTTCAGAATCTCTTTCAGCTTGTAATTATTCTTAGGATAATAAGCTGTAACCATGAAAAATCCAATACAGTTCCCTTTATTTTTCTTGCTTATTTAAATTTCATTCATACTTTTTTTTTAATTTCTGAGAGAGTGGGAGAGACAGTGGGGGAGGGCCAGAGAGAGAGACAGAGAGAGAGAATCCCTAGTAGGCTCTGTCTGTCATGAAACTTGAGATCATGACCTGAGCCGAAACCGAGAGTCCCATGCTTAACGACTGAGCCCCCTGGGGGCCCCCCATTCATTCTTTAGATATTAGTTAGAAGCCCGGCGTGTCAGCTCCATGCTGGGCACTTTGGAGACCTTAGTGAGTAAGTGCAGACATGGGTGTATAGTCCAGTGGGGCACAGTAGGCGTCAGTCAGGTAATCACACCAATGACACAGAGTTTCCCTGAAATAAACGCTACGGAGCACAAACCAGTTCTGTGGAAGCGTGTACTTACGGCGACACGAGGAAGGCTATTCTGAGGATCTGAGGTTTGAGATCTTAGTGCGAAGGCTGGTGAGTAGGAGCGTTGCCGGCAGAGGGAAGAACGTGTGCGGGAGGAGGCCTGGAGAGTGCAGGCGCCGCGGGCTCCGGAAGACGGGCCTGCGGAGTCACGGGCGTCAGTGCCAGAGGAGACTGCGGTGGCAGGCGAGGCCGCCGCGGGGGCCCCGAGGCCACGTTAGTAAGGCTCACACAGCTCTTCTGGAGAAGGTCCCGGGGGGCGCCCTTCACCTCTCGTTTGTTCCCCCCTGTGTCCTCAGAGCCTTTTGCTTGTTTGTTTTTAAGTCCGAGGACTCGCCAACTTTAAATAAAAGAGTAGGTGTAAGAGAACTTGAGCCACCTCGAAAAGTACCTCACTCGTGATGAGTGGGTTTGTCATGGTTCCCACATGATTCTTCATTCAGCCAGTGTGTGTACCCGTTCACAGACAGACCCCTGGGGTTTGGTGTATGACGACTTTTCTCCACAGTGGCCTGGAGACACACTCGGGTCACTCACAACGTCTAGGGGTATCACGTTTGGTTTGTAAAATAACAAAGCGAACGGGCCCCTGGCAGGGGTTGGCACCGAACCCTAATAACTTTGGCCTCCTTAGTACCTTTCACCTTCAGTTTATATTATAGGTCATTAACAAACACAACAATTTACATAAATTCAACTGACATCAATAAAATCTGAGACCCAAGATGGTCCATGTTAGTTATTTTAATAAGAAATTACCCAGGGCGTCTGGGTGGCTCAGTCGGTTAGGCGGCCGACTTCAGCTCAGATCATGATCTCGTGGTTTGTGGGTTCGAGCCCCACTTTGGGCTCTGTGCTGACAGCTCAGAGCCTGGAGCCTGTTTCAGATTCTATGTCTCCCTTTCTGTCTGCCCCTCCCCAGCTCGTGCTTGGTCTCTCTCTGTCTCAAAAATAAATAAACGTTAAAAAAAAAAAAAAGAAATTACCCAGCTACCAGTTATTAACTATGATAAGAAAGCCCTGAGAGTTTGTATAGTGTCAGTTTCAGTTACTAAAGTCATAATGCCTTCAAAGAGAACAGAAACAAAGAGGAGTTTGTAAGCACTATGAAAATAGCATATTTATTCCTCTTCAAGTAGTTTGCATTCATTGCTACTACTGCTGTATCGATTATTGTACAAAGATTTGCAATTTATGTCTTTTTACATAGATAAATCATGTAGTCAAAAATATCTTATTGTTGTCTTCTAAGACCAGGGGTCTAACCTCTGAGGTATAGGGGCTCGCTAATATTGTCTTATAATGCTTTTCTCAAAATTGTCTCAGTGCTCGTTATCTGTTTTCCGTAAAGAACTACCTCGTTAGAAAAATTCGGTTCCCTTTGCTTCACATCATGTTTATGATACACGTTTATGATGATGGGTAGAGTTGTAGGCGGTTCACACACTAGTAAATAATACTTAAGGTTTTACAGCTCCCAGTACTGCTGCTGACAATGAGTATCATTCGCTGTTTAATTTGCTAGGTTGCTGCAGTAAGTACCATAGTAAACAGAGGGATAACGCCTAAAGCTTTCGTGTTCAGAAACTATGGTCACTTTCCTGGCATCAACTCTCACTACCTGGGAGGCTGTCAGTACAAAATGTGGCAGGCCATTAGAGCGTCGTCTGCTGCGCCCGGCTACTTTGCGGAGTATGCCCTGGGAAATGACCTTCACCAAGTAAGTGGACTGTGGCTTACCTTTGAAACGTTCATGTGATTATAGAATCGGTACTTCTTAAATGTCACGTCTGGTCTTCATGTTTACATGTGGTAAAATGGGCCATACAAGTTGTCTTTGTTTGTTGTTTGTTTTTCTTAAATTAACTGGCCTTTGGCTTGAGAACACGTTTTAGGAAAGACTATTTTTTGTGTATTTTTAGGAAAGACCTTTTTTTGTATGAATGTGATTCATAACTAATTTTAACTAATTTATTGATCAGAAAATGTATGACATTCCAAATGTAATAGAAATTAAAAACAAAACATCCATTTGTAATAAAATGAAATAATTAAAAATGAAACGTGGTCCCTGCAAACGCAGACCCCAGTCTGTTTGACAGTTTTGGTGGACATATTTTGAAGGGGATGATATACAATAGTAAGTTAGCTGTGTGCTGGACACTTACATAGTCCTTGGCGTGCACCGTCTCACTTACTTATCACTGCCTCTGAGGTGGGTAGAGTTAGTCCCCTTTTGCAGATGAGATAGTGGAGTCTTGAGAAACGTCCAGTAACCGGAGTACCATCACAGCTGACAAGTGACAGCGTTGGGAGGCTGCCTTTAATTATACTCTTTCTACGTTTATGGCTGAATGATGTACAATGTTACTATTATTTCTGGTAATTTATTCTGTTTCTGTGATGTGGATTTATTTATTTATCTTAATTTTTCCTCTTAAGTTTTCCGCATTATTTATGGAGTTCCTAACTCCTAACTTATGCTAAATGATGAAAAAGTCACGAAAACCCTTGAGCTGATACTACCAAAATATGTTTCATATATGCTTAATTTGTTCAATGATATCCCACTTAAAATCAGTCTCCTTCCATAGAGCTATTAACCTTAACTTTCCTCTCTGGTCAGTGAAGTATTTGTGCTCTATTTATCTGGTAGATAAATGTTGAGAAGAAAACTATTTTAATAAGGGTTTTCTGATGTCATTCAGAAACTCATACATAGATCATCTACATGAACTACATAACAACTATATAATTTCAGTTTATGTGTGTCAATGTTACAATAACTGAAACACTTTTATCAGTTTCATATTCTCCTATATTTTTATAGTACCTTACACATATTTTAAAATGTATGGTCAGTGGGGCACCTGGGTGGCTCAGTGAGTTGAGTGTCCGACTTTGGCTCAGGTCATGATCTCGCACTCTGAGTTCGAGCCCCGTGTCAGGCTCTGTGTTGACAGCTCAGAGCCTGGAACGTGTTTCAGAGTCTGTGTCTTCCTCTCTCCCTCCCCCACTCACACTCTGTCTGTCTCTCAAATATAAATAAACATTAAAAAAAATTTTTTTTTAATGTATGGTCAGCTATCCCATTTTCCCTTGTCTTTCTAGAAATAATGTCACAATCTTTGTAGTTACGAATTTGACATAGGATTCCCTTTGTCTTTGGAATCACTTCAGACTCCTCCTTACTTTGTCCAGTCAGTCATTGTTGAATTATGTAAGGCACTTCCCCTTCTCACCTTTCTCCTGTTTCTTCCATCTACTCAAGAGAGAAGGAGCCAGCTGCAGAGTCCTTCTGACACTGGCTTCAAGACTTACTGGTCAAGATAAAATTCTTATTTGAATATGTACCTTGCTGTTCTAACAGTGATTTCTGCATATTCTTATTCTCACCATGTCATAAACGGAGAAATAATTTGGACAGTGTATTCAAAACATAGTAGTTAAGGTTTATAACATAACTTTAAGATTATTGTTCTACTACAAAATTACAGTTATGCCAAATATTAGTAGAAGTCTCAAATGATAAGTTACTGCATTTTGAGACCATATGTTCCTAGACTTCAAAAGAAGTTACCTCATTTTCTTTTCATTTTTTTCTCTAAGAGGAAGTAGTTCTAAAGTTTAATTCAGTCCTGGAGAATACATAATAACAAACTAAAGTAATTCAGTGGTTCTCTTTCCATTTCGTTTAGACTAGTGATGTTTCTTTTCATGCTTAGCCATTTTTATATTGATGACCATAATCTTTGAATTTAGGTTGAGCTACAGATTAAAATAGCTTATTACACAAAATTTATGTAAAGCATGTAATCACATGTACAGAGAATATACTTTTATGTAAATCAGTGACTTGACTCTGGGAAGATTTGCACATCTAATTAATAATATTTAAATGAAATCTGGATTCGAAGCAAACCCTATTTAGAACATTTTTCTTACTTCAGTTCTCTTACAAACATGAGGGGAAAATGGGATATTCTTCTACTCAAAGGATGCCGTGAAAGATTGATTAGAATATTCTAAGATGTGAATGATCTTGATTGTTTAAACAAAGAAAACATTCAAGTCAAGTTCCTTTCCAGCCCTTCAGAAATTGTTACCAAGTTTAAAACTAAAATATGGTACTTATTTATTACAATCCTCTTATCCTAAGCCCTTTGAATAATTGCGTTATTTCTGGAATCATCTTTAAAATCTCTTTTAACTGTCACGTCTGACATATGTTTTAATGTAAGTTACTTCATATCCTTTTGGAACCGTGTAGAGTATAAATTATAGATTAATATTCTGTTTGAGCAGTGATTGAAAGTAGTGCTATAATTAAGAGGTGTGAGTAGGTAGATGAAAGATTTCATTTGCCTATAAAGAAAAGAATGTGGTATTTACAAGGTTTATTACATGTCCTAGAAAATTATAAAGTGAGGGGAATTCTTTTTGAGTAGTTTTCTAATCTATTATTTCTCTCCCCTACCCAAGTAGCATCATATCTTGAAATAGTACATTTAACCTAAAATTATCCCTTCTCTCTCTCTCTTTAACTTTTATTGCTATATAATTAATATACCAAACAGTGAACATATTTGATGTCTACACTTTGATGAGTTTGGCATGTGCATATCCCTTCTCTCTTCCCTTTTCGCATCTCCACCTCCAGAATCGAATCATTCATTCTCTGCTTTTGGAGAAAGACCCTGATAAATTCATTTGTACTGAAGGTTTTCATGACAGATTTTCATATATTGTTTCCCTTAGGCCTTATTTACATTTTGAAAGTTGTGAACTCCGAATATGTTAACCTAAAGGGGATTGTGATCTTTCAAATAAATGTTCCCAGTAAATAGTGTTTTCAGCAGAAAGAACTCCCTAGCACTTGGCAGATTGTGCCTGTGCCAGGCCACACTGTTAATTTTCAGTATAACTGGTCACAGATGTTGTGACTGCTTGCTCACTGCCAAAACCTGCTAACTGTGAAGCCCCTACAGGTTTTAGTAAGTGCCGTCTTATTACTTGTGTCTCCTGGGTCCTGCCCTCAAGCAGGTCAAACTAGAATAGAAGCCCAGTGAAACAGTAACATGATAAGTTCGGTAATGAACATGCGTACGGGGTTAAGAAGTAGTAGAGAAGAAGTGCTTTACTCTTTCAGGATGGGTTTTAAAAACACGTTTCCACTGCAGTTGAGATGTGAAGAAAGAGTAGTCAGGTAGGATAGAAGTGGGATTGGGAGGGAAGTGAGGATAGTTTACTGGCTTTAGAATTTCCCTTTAGGGTGATAAAGATGTTTCGGAAATAGATCGTGGTAATGGTTATGAAACATTATGAATGTAATGAATGCCACCGAATTGTGACCTTAAAAAGGCTTAAAAGGATCAATTTTATGTTTTGTATATTTTACCATAATAAGAAACAAAATTTTTTAAAAACATTTTTTAACATTTTATTTATTTCTGAGAGAGAAAGAGAGAGACAGCGTGAGCAGGGGAGGGTCAGAGAGAGAGGGAGACACAGAATCTGACGCATGAATCTGAAGCCCAGAATCTGACGCATGAATCTGAAGCCCAGAATCTGAAGCATGAATCTGAAGCACAGAAGCCTGAATCTCAGGCTCCAGGCTCTGAGCTGGCAGTCAGCACAGAGCCCAACACGGGGCTCGAACCCATGAACCGCAAGATCATGACCTGAGCCGAAGTCGGACGCTTAACTGACTGAGCCACCCAGGTGCCCCAACAAAATTTTTTTTAACTCAAAAAAATAATGAGATGAGATGATTAGGAGACCTTCACGTTGTGCATTGGTTATTTCCTGAAAGGTGTTCGTATGATTTGAAAGAATTAAATGTACACTGAAAGCAATCAAAAGTATCTAAGTTTTAGGCTGTTAAGTACATGTGTGATACACTGCTGTTGAAACACAATCCTGTGTGTACCTCTTGAGAGATAAGTAGCAAATTATTCAGTCAGTTCACTTTTTTAAAATATTTTTTAAATATTTATTTGAGGGAGAGAGAGAGAGAGATTGAGAGAAAGCACAAGCAGGGGAGGGGCAGAGAGAAATGGAGACACAGAATCCAAAGCAGGCTCCAGGCTCTGAGCTGTCAGCACAGAGCCCGATGCGGGGCTTGAACCCCCGAACTACGAGATCATGACCTGAGCCAAAGTCGGACACTCAACCTACTGAGCCACCAAGGTGCCCCTTCAGTCAGTTTTTTTTTTTTTAAGTCTCTTTTACCTGAGCATCTGACAGTGGGCCTGGAAAATCCCAAACACACAATAGGTAACTGTGACCATGACTACTTAAATGAAAGGAGGGGCTGAAGGAAACACCATAGTTGTAACATTGGCCTGACGACTTCCTGATAGAAGAGGCATTTGGACAGGAGTGGGCTAAAGTGCAACATGGCTTAAGAGAAGGTGTGCCTCTCCATGGACTAGAGTGAGCACCAAAAATCTTAACTTCTGCATGTATGTGATGGAAGATAAGTAAAGTTCAAGGAATGGGAATTTAGTTTAAAACATGGCTATTAAAGCCATTGGAAACGTGGCAGCTTTTTAATTTGGGAGTGATTTTGCTATTATCAACTTTTGCTACGCCTCGCTTTCCCCTTCTTATCTTTTCTCCCCTTTTTGTCTTTTCTGACCCTTTATAGGCTATTATAATAGTGAAGAAGTAGTCCATCTAAAGTACTGAGATGATTAGAAGTTATACAAAGTATAACTATAGAATTTAAAAGTTTTAGTTAGAAGAGGTAACTTGCTGAATTAGAAATGAAATGTTACTTCTTTTATGTGATAAGTTTTATTCTAATGTCCTATTAATTGAAAACAAAGGAGAAAGTTGAAAAGATTAAATTAAAATTTATACTTGAGAGACCTTTAGGAAATAATTATTCCCACCTCCATTCAAGGAATCCTAGTAGGCTTTTACAACGTTAAACAGTACAGACAGCCAGTGTAAACTTTCAACAGATGTATAAAGATAACTAAGTTTTTTTTCAGTTCTTTAAGAGAAGGAGAGCGTGGGAGCAGGGGAGAGGGGCCTAGGGAGAGAGAAAGAATCTTAAGTAGGCTCCACGCTCAGCACAGAGCCCAAAATGGGGTTTGATCCCACGACCCTGGGATCATGACCTGAGCCAAAATCAAGAGTCAGATGCTCAACTGAACAAGCGGCCCAGGCAACCTAAAGATAGCTACATTTAAAAATAGTTCCTTTCCACTGGCGAATGATAAACTATAAGACATCCGAATAATTAAATACTACTCAGCAATAAAAAGGAGTGAATTACTGACGTGTGCGGTGACGTAGATGGGTCTCAGAAACATTGTTCTAGGTAAAAGAAACCAGACTCAAAACACTGAGTACTGTAAGACTCCAGCTATCTTGATAACAGGAGCTAATGTGTGACCTCGGAGAGTAGATGGAAGAATGGTTTCTGACGGTAAGAGGATTGAGGAACTGAGGGTCTCGTGTTACAAAGACGTGAAGACACGTGGGTGTGATAAGGCATTTCCACTTCTGACACGGGATAGTAAGGAAGCCTGGGAGCCAAGTGCTCACCAGTTTGAATGAGAAGGTGACAGGTGACAACAGTGATGGTGGCCCAGGGGAATAGCAGAGCCTTTAAAGCACATGCGTTTTCCAAGCTGATTGGGACCAATAATGGTCTAGAAGGAACACTAAAGAATAAGTAGGACACTGTCTTCCTGACCACTAAAGCGTATGAGACATGAAAGAATCCACAGCTATCTGGGAAACAGTATTAGGGAAGAGCCACGTTTCTGTTAGAGCACTTTCAGGACAAGCGAGAGGACCTTGGCAGTGTTAACGGAGCAGTCCCGGACGGCACCGTGGGAGATGTCTGGGAGGAGCGGAAGACCGTGTCGGTGGCACGGAGGCCCAGAGAATCGAGTGGCATGTTGGAGGGCGCAAAGGCTCCGTGGAGTTTAGAGTAACGTGCGTTTATCCCCTGTTGGTTGTCTGAGGAAGGTGAGCCTAGGAGCTCTAAAACCCTAACAAACATCCCACCCTCCGTGGTGATCACTCCCAGCGGACACCGTGTCCGTTCGTCCGCTTCAGGCTCAGCACACGCAAGGGTAGCACGCGTCTTGGCCTGGCGTGGCGTGGGCGGACACTCAGCTTTCTCCTGGGTGCCCTGAGGCAGTCTGTTCAGTGTCACGGAAAGCTGACCGCTCCTGGTCTGCACTGGCGCTTTGACGCCTCTAGGATTCTGATCTTGTGTGCGTAGCCTCTGCCACTCTGCTTTGAGTTGAGGAACGATTTAACTGATTTCCTAAGACCCACGCCAGCTCTGATGCTCCAGGCTCCGAGCTGTCAGCTCAGAACCTGACGTGCGGCTCGAACCCACAAGCCGTGAGATCATGACCTGAGCTGAGGTCAGACGCTCAACCGACTGAGCCCCCCAGGCGCCCCTAGTTGCACCGTATTTTTAAAAGTCGTGATGCCTCTGCCAAACAGGAGATACAAGAGCTGAGATTGGAATTGGAAGTATCATTATTTCTGATCTATGTTTCCCCCCACAGCTCTGAATCCTCACAAGAAAATTAAAACACTATTATATTCTTTTTTGAGAAGCATGTGTCTTATTGCAGAAAGGGTTTTATTAAGTACACACACCTGTACACATGCTGTGCTCTAAGGAAAACTTAGCCATGCAAAGTGGCTCATTTGCTAAAGGTCCTAGTTTGCCATAATTTTGCTGTAGTACACTGAAAAGGAATTTTGAAAATATGGGTCTGTCACAAGAAAAAAAATTAGTTTTTTATAGATCTTTACCCCAAAATATTTGTGCTACTATAATCTTGGTGCCTGTATTTCTAATGTGTACTGCGATAGGGCCAATTTAAGGTTGTATCTTCTCTTCGTGTTCTAGCGGAAAACCGATTTTTAAAAAATTCTTTGTCAGTGTTCTAGTACAAATTGGGCAGTCTCTTATCTTCCAGTAGAGATGGACTGTTTTCAACTCAACATGTTAGGATTATTTCACTTAGGTTCTTGCTGGATAAGTTACTTTTGGCCCACGTTTTGAAGAATAAATGGGAGTTAGTTGAGCAAGGAGGGGGCCGGGGAAAGAATGTTCTGAGTGAGATAGCACGTCCAAAGTCACAAAGGATGTGGGTCATCAAAAACCTGCGAATAATTTGTGAATGACTGGACTGTGGGCCTAGAAGATGACCAAGTCTGTGTGGCTTTAGAATATACTATCTGAAATTAATGGAAGACAGTTACAGGAAGTGGGATTTGGGCTTATTAGAAGGAGTAACTTTCTAACAGTTTATACTTTTTCAAAAGTGAATGGATACACTGATATGGAGAGAGGGTTTATCCCAGCAATGCAAGGTTGGCTGTATACTTTTTTTCTACTACAGTTTTGCAGTACTCTTTCGGCATGGTTTACCCTTCTTTCCTTCTAAATTCTTCAAAATAATAGTTAACGATTGATAAATGCTTAGCAGTACAAGGTTTGCCTACTTTGTTTAGAGGATATTGCGTTTTAATGAGTATGATACTTTGAAATTGTATTGTTAACAAAGTTTCAGTGAAATTAGTTGAATTAATTTGGTTATATTGGACTTGTGAGCAGAAAGCTAGTTTTAATCGTTTGGTAGAACCACGATTCTTCTGTTAGGTTTTATGTAGAATCTTTAGTAGCTGCTAAACAAGGATAATATCTTTAAAAGGTCATTCTTTTCATCTTAGTAGTTTTGAGAAAAATATGCATAGCAATCAAAGAAGTTAAAAGAGCTTTCATAATCTGAAGGGAAGATGTAATAAGGCCAGTGGGTTTTCCCACTACCCTTTGTGAAGCTGTAGTATATAAAATAAACACCTTGAGGGAACTTCTTGTTTTTAAATAATTTGTTCAGTTTATTACACTCCTTGTGAGTAAATTTCGAACTGTTTTAAAATACAATTTTTCCATATTTGTAAAATGGAATCTCACTTTTCAGAGTTCTGTACTGTATTTTCCTGACTTTGTTTGGCAGGATGGAGGCTTGCTTCTGAATAACCCCTCCGCGCTCGCCATGCACGAGTGCAAATGTCTTTGGCCGGACGTGCCCTTGGAGTGCATCGTGTCTCTGGGCACCGGGCGGTACGAGAGCGACGTGAGGAACTCTGTGACGTACACGAGCTTGAAAACCAAGCTGTCAAACGTTATCAACAGTGCGACGGATACAGAAGGTTAGTCTGCTGCCGCCTTACAGCGCTGTAACTTCTAGAGTACAGTTTTTGGTGCCGCTGCTGACTACAGAAGAGTGAGTTGCATCTGTATGGGGGGCTCATAAATGTAGGGGAGCAGATCTTACGTTGTTTCCGTTTCTCCTCACGCATTTCTTCTAAGTGACCCCAGAAGAGAGACTGTTCTTCACCTGGGCACTGGTGGCACCTTTGCCTGTGTGCAGTGGGAGAAGTGTCTGAAGCAGGATTAGCACAGAGGTTTGGATGGAGACTCCTGCAGTGTAAACTCAATCCAGTCTTTACCCTGCCCTGAACCCTCTGGGCTTCCCATCACACTTCGAACAAAATCCCAAAGCCTCCATCACTGAAATATGCCAGGTCCTTTAAGACCTGCATCCCTCCCCCTCTCCTCACATGTCCCCTCTGTCCAGTTGTCCAGCCACACTTCAGTTCTTGCTGTCCTTGGACTCGCTGAGAAGTGTCCTGCCTCGGGACCGCCACCGTTGCCGTGCTCTGTGTGCTGTCTCCCCCACATTGTGCTTGCTTCGCTTCCCTGTTTCGTTCAGGTCTCTGCTCGGACGTCCCTTCCTCAGAGACCTGTCCCGATTACTTTCCAGCCCCCTCACCATGTCATTCCGACCTCTATCCTGCTGCTTTCTCTCTTTTTTTCCAACTTAGAGCATTTCTCTCATTATGTGGATGTGGATTACATATTTGCTTGTGTAGTTGCTTATAGTCTCTCTGTCCTGCAAGAATACAAGGCAGAAACTTACCCAGTTGACTGTGTTGACTGCAATGCCCAGCACATAGTAGGTGGTCACTGAGTATTTGTGGAGTGTCCAGTTTTGGCCTTGATGTCTAGATCTCCTTATTTTACTATTTTATTTTTAAAACTTCTGTAAATCTGTTGTTTGATTCTTAAAAAGAATTGTTAGCATTTAACAGCACCTTGCTTCCGAATCTCATTCTTTGCATATCGTCGTGTTATTGGCCAAGTCATTAACCCACAGGAGGGTCTTAAACTCCCCACTAAGGACTTTTATCTATTAATGATAACCCAAGAGAAGCTTATAGACTGGATTTTTCACTATCTGAAATTTTGTTATCAAATCGATAAAATACTTTTTTTTTCCCCATCACATTTTTACTTAATTAGATCAGAGCACAGATGCATTTGAGTTACACCCTGAATACTAAACTTCTGAATGTGTTGAAATAAATGCCTATGGCATCATAAAGCAGCTTTCTTAAAAGGGAAGGAGGCCGCTTCTGTGAATCGTGTGGCATACATGCAAGTGCAAAGTTAGAATAGAATGGTGCTTGATCTGCAACCAAAAAATAGTAGAAGAAAATTTCTTAATATTTTTCATCAAACTACGGAATTACCATCATTGTTATCAGGAAGCATATATCTAGGTGTATATGACGTTCTTGTTGTACGCAGTGTGTTGAGAAAGAGGAGCTTGAATCAGCCAGTCTCAGAATACTTCTGTGTATCTGGTGCAAACCATGCGATGGGCTGATTTGGAATTTTCAAGAAATAAGTAATGCTGCTTCCGCTCTAGTGTACTTACACTCTAGTTAATGAAAAATTTGAAATGTACGTAATTAGATGGGTTATTGAACTATAAAAATCGCCATTTCATTTAGCTCCATCTAGTGTATTATCAGTTACTAAATAAGTGGTGAATAGTTGTAAATGATGAAGACTATGAATTAAGAAGGGGAAGAAGAAAACTAAAATAGGTTATTGTGGAGGGATTACAGTAAGCAAGTTAGACTAGGGGCACCTGGGTGGCTTAGTCGGTTATGTGCCCGACTTTGGCTCAGTCAGGATCTTGGGGTTTACGAGTTTGAGCCCCATGTTGGGCTCAGTGCTTACAGCTCAGAGCCTGGAACCTTTTTCAGATTCTGTGTCTCCCTCTCTCTGTCCCTACCCCACTCGTATGTGCTCTCTCTCTCACTCTCAAAAATAAAACATTTAAAAAAAATTTTTAAAAAAGAAGTAAATTAGACTAGATACAGGTCTTAAAGGATACTGGAGTTTGAGTTAAGACTTCCACTTCCAGCCATGATAAATAACAGAAGCCATACATTTCCTCTCCCCTTAAGCCATCAGCAAACTGAACCGGACAGTGGTTTTCCAACATTAGATGTCTGAAATGAAGGACACCAAAGGGGCCCAGATCAGACTTCTAGAGGTGACATGGGTCAGTGATCCTTGAAAGAAGGAAAAGAAATGAAGTAATTTCTGCATTTGCCCAGCTTGCTGGCTAAAGAGTTTCTAGATTATAGCACAGGGAGGGGTGACCCTGAAGAAAGCAGAACAGGATACAGAGCTAGAGCTCTTGGAGGCCAAGGAAACTAGAGTTTGTGGGCAAAATCCAGCAGGAGGCAGCTTCACAGAAAGAGTGCCTTGGAGACGTGCAGGGGTGTCCCCTGCACGCCTGGGAGGAAGCTACCCAAGGCAGGGGGAAGAACCGCCCGGAAGGATTAGACGGAACAGTTCTTGGAGCTCACCTGGGACCCTGAGCTTGGATTTTTGTCAGTAGATTAGAAGGACCTTGTGGTACACGAGCTATGCAGTGGGGTCCTCAGAAGAGAGTTGTTTCGGTAGTGGCATCAGATTAGTTCTAGACTCAGGGCTGCTCTGCATCCACCCTGGCACTGCTTGAAAGCAATCCTCGAAAAGATCACATCGAATCCAATTAATAGCATCCATTGTTAGAATAAAATCAAACACTGTTAAAAGAATGCAGTAAATTCCAGTACACACCGAAAATAAAAATTCACAATGTTTGATGTCTAGTAAAAAATTACCAGGCATACAAAGAACCAAGAAAAGACACCCTTCACCAAGAGCAAACCCAGTCAGTGAGAACAGACCTAGATACGAAACAAATGATAGGTAGGCAATTAGCAGACAAGGACACTGCCGTTGCTATTGAAAATTTCCTTTGTAAGTTCAGTGGGTTGGCGGAAGACTGGATATGGAGAGCAATGAATGATACAGAAGGGACCCAAATCAAACTTCTAGAGGTGAAAAATACACTATCTGAAATGAAAAATGCAGCTGATAAGATTAATAACAATTCGACATAAACACTTGGAAGAAACAGAAGAAGGGTAAGTACTGCCCAGCTCATTCTCTAAGGCCAGCATTACCCTGACACCAAACCCAGGCGCCCCACAAAAAACGTTTGTTAAATACATAAAAATACCATTTCCCTATTAGTTCCCTCATGCTGAAAGTCTTAAAATATACTAACAAGTTGAATTCAGAAATATATCAAAAGGAGAATACAGCATAACCAAGTAGGATCCATCCCAAGAATACACAGTTGGCTTAACATTTAAAAAAAAATCAATATAATTTACCATATTAATAGACTAAAGCATGGTTTCATCAGATGTGGAAAAGACATCTGACAAAATTTGACATCCATTCATGATAAAAACTCTAGTAAATTAGAAACGGAAGGATACTTGCTCAGCCTGACAAAGGACTTTTATAAAAAATGGGGGGGGAACCCCAAGAAACCTAGAGCTAGCATGGTATTTAATGGTGAAAGACTGGATACTTTCTGTTTAAGATCAGGAGCAGAGTAAGATCACTTTCAGTCCGCACTGTCATAGAGGTCCTTTCCAGCACTGCAAGGCAATAAAAGGGAATTAAAAGCAGATAGATTAGAAGTGAAATAAATATTTGTACGTAACACCGTGGTCTACATTGACAATCCTAAGGGATCTATTAAAAAACTCCTAGAACCAACAAGTTGGAGAATACAAAGTCAGTAAAAATCAGTGGTATTTCTGCACACTCACAACCCGAAAGTAAATATATACGAAGGTAGACATCATTTATAATAGCATGAGAATACTGAACCCTGAAGGAATTATTTAACAAATAATGTGCAAGACCTCAACAGTAAAAAATGCAAAGCGTTACTGGAAGAAATTAAAGAAGTACTGAATAAATCAGTAGATATACCATATTCATGAATTGGAAATAGTTTTCTTTCAGTGGCACACTGCAAATGGATCTATAGATGCCATGCAATTGCTGTAGGACCCCTGACAGTCTTTTTCTGGGGTGGAGATTTAACAAGATGACTGTAAAATTTACATAGGTACGCAAAGGACTTAGAAGAGCAAAAACAATTTTGAAAATGAACAAAGTTGGAGGATTTCTACCCTCTGATCTCAAATCATAAAACTCCAGTAAGCAAAGGACTGTTGTATTTGCATGAAGTTAGACCTTTAGATCAATGAGTGGTACGTAATAGAGAATACAGAAATTGATCCATACATGGAAGCTCAAAAGATTAACTAAATGGGGAAATTTCCAACCAATAGTATAGGGGCAGTTAGATAACTATAGTCAAAAAAGTGAACCTTGACCCTTCACACCATCTGCAAAAATTAACCTGAAATGGATCACAGACTTAAATATAAGAGTTAAAATCGTCAGACTTCTAGAAGAATACCCTGGAGAAAATCCAAATGACATTGGGTTAGGTAAAGATTTTTTAGATAGGACACACAAAACATGAACCAAAGAAGAAAAAAAATACATAAAGCAGACTGTATTGGATTACAGACTTTGCTCTGCAGAAGACACTGTTAGTAAAATGAAAAGACAAGCTGTAAACTGAAATAAAATACTAGCAAAATATGTATCTGATCCATTATCAGAACCAAATACATAAACAGTCTAAATTGTATAGAGAGATATATATGTATACATATAAAAAATTTCAGTAAAAAAAAAGATGGGCAAAATATTTGAACACTTTATTGAAAAACATACGCAGATCACTAAAAAGTACATAAAAAACTACATCATTAGAGAAATGAAAAGTAAAACCACAAGATACCACACACGTTCTCTAGAATGGCCTTTAGCTGATAATACCAAGTTTTCACAGATGTGAAGAGTGGGAACTCTGGGATATTAATGGCTGGAATGCAAAATGGTGTGACCATTTGGAAAACATTTAACATTGTCAACTATACTTCAATAAAAAAAAAGATAAGACACACTTTTACCATATGATCCAGCAATTTCATCCTAGAGTATTCCCTCAAGAGAAATGGAATCATATATCCACAAGAAGACTTACATGTAAATGCTTACTGTAGGATTATTCCAAATAGCTAAAGACTGGGGAGAAACAGAACTGGAAAGAACAAACTGTGGTGTATCTGTATAGTGGAATTCTACTCACCAATGAAAAGGAGAGAACTATTGATACATACATACTATGACAGGGATGAATTTCCAGAAGAGCTATATACTTCTGATCCTGTGTATATGAAATTCTAGAAAAGGCGAAGAGTAAGAAGAGAAGGAACTATAAAAAGGCATTAAGGGACTTTTGGGGATGATAGAAAGGTTCTATGTCATGATTGTTGTGGTTACACAAAGGTATACATTTGTCAAAACGTCTCAAATTATACACTTAAAATCGGTGAATTTTATTATAGATGAAGTTCTGCCTCAATAAAGATGATACCCAAAGTTAAAAACTAAAAGAGGGACACCTGTGAGGCTCAGTCGGTTAAGCATCTGACTCTTGATAGGCCCAGATTATGATCTCAAGGTTTGTGAAATCGAGCCTCGAGTCGGACTCTGAGCTGACAGGGCAGAGCCTGCTTGGGATTCTCTCTCTCCTCTCTCTCTGCCCCTCCCTCCCTCCCTCCCTCTCTCGCTCAAAATAAACATTAAAAACAAAACAAGTTGGAAAGGCCTTTCAGCAGTAGCCAACAGGATGACCCAAAACAGAGACAAGAGTGCAAACGAACAAGTAGCAGGATTACAGGAAGAAGTATCTTGGGAGATAAATTTCATTAGATTCATTATTATGAATTCCTGAAACCTACTCTTAATTGGCTGGAGTGATGAAATAAGGAAGGCTTTGTAATTTGCCCTATAAGAAGATCATTTTAAATAAGGGTAAAATTAGATCATTGCAGAATAAGTCCATTTTCTGATCTGCCCTGTTCTCTCTGTGTTTGTTTTAACAGAGGTCCATGTAATGCTTGATGGCCTGTTGCCTCCTGACACCTACTTTCGATTTAATCCTGTCATGTGTGAGAACATCCCTTTAGATGAGAGCCGGAACGAAAAGCTCAATCAGCTGCAGCTGGAAGGGCTGAAGTACATAGAAAGAAATGAAGAAAAAATGAAAAAACTTGCAAAAATACTAAGTCAAGAAAAAACAACTCTGCAGAAAATTAATGACTGGATAAAACTAAAAACTGACATGTATGAAGGCCTTCCGTTTTTCTCAAAATTGTGAGAAATGTATGTGTGTGTGTGTCTCTCTCCCCCTAAATGAGTGCCTGAACAGAAGAGGCAGTGAATTCCGTAAGGAATGCTGGGGCTCAGCAGGAGTTTACTTCGAGATACTGGAGAAGCCTGAAGACCAGCCCGTCCGGCTGGTCCGGCACAGAGGGTGTGCCTGGCTACAGAATTCACATGGGAGTTGCTTCTTACGATGTTCACAGTTAACAGTGCTTTAGGAATCTTACTGTGCTAGTTGGTTTTAGTAGGTATCGGTGTTCTATTGTTTGATATTTGAAAATGTATTAATACATGTGCCAGGCAGGAACTGTGACCCTACCACACGTGATGTTTTTGCCTTAGTCGCCATAATCATGTTGAATTTGTTTGATCACTGGTTTTCTGTCATGTGGAAAAGCTCATTTCTTAAGTCTCCATCACGGATGTTTTGACTCGCTATATTCTAGGATCCACATGTTGCCTTTTATTGTAATAATGTCAAACCAGGTGCAGAAACATGGAATTTGCTCTATCAGAGGACTTTTACATTTGAAATACGGAAGAACCAGCTACAGTTCTGTTCAGAATGTGTTCATTTCAACACTGTTTGGGTCATAAAGAGAGATGAAGTTCCAGTCAACCACTTTTCCACCTGGAATTGAAAGATCGTGCTGGGGGGTTAAGTTTTCTAGCTCTGGCTTATCCATTCACTGTTCCAAACGTATTTGAATTCGCTGAGAACATCTCCCTATCATTAACAAAAATAAACTATTGAAATACTGTGTTGTTAAAAGGCTAATGTCATTTGTAAAGTTTTTATTGCTCGTAGTGTAGGTTCCCATCTTTTGTAAGCATTTGAATGTACCTGTCCACAGTGTGCTTTAACAAATATGTTATGTTTTACCTGATTAACTCCTTTAGCCATCGGATTTCACGGAGGTTGTGTGTGTACCAACCCGAATATTGTTCATGCCAACCAGATTCGACTTTGCTTTGTTATCTCTCCATCTGCCACATACAGCCTTCCATCGTGTTTAGGTTTGTCAAGAAAAATGAAAAAAGGTCAGTGCCTTTCGCCTTGTACACGTCAACTAAAGCTAACCCACCGCCTGGATGCGGCTGTTGCTTCTTTGTATGCAAATTCCTGGAGGCCGTGAGGCGTGGTTCGGAGCGTTGGGGGCAGAGGGCCTGGCTGGCAATCCCGCCTCTGATGCAGAGTCCTGTTTGTGACCTGGAGGAGGGGGAGGCTCTCGGGGCTTCAGATCTTTTATCAAGTGAGAAAAGCGGCCTCTCACGTGCCATGCCCTCTTTTATGGTAATCCAGATTCGGCAAACGTAAAAGCAGAAGATGGGAAGAGATGAGAAAAACAAGTTTTCAGTCTTCATGCTTGGTCGGATTACCCCGTTTCCAAAGAAGCAAAGAGGAGAAATAATCTATTTCAGAAATAAAATGTAGTAAATTCTCCAACTCATCAGTTCTATAAAAAGTACAGAGAATAAAGATGGTTTTGAGGCTCAGGCCTCTTTGAGTGTCTCAGAGTCCTTTTTTCTGTAATAAAAGGTATGCGGGCCATGTTTCGGCTCTGTTCTTGCTGCAGATACTATTCTTTATGAAAAACAGTAACTCAGATAGCATTGCTTCTAGAGCCTGGGCTGCGTGGGATTTCCCCTGGAGGGTGGAGAGAGTCCGTCTGGGTTAAACTGACACCCTGAGCCTTTTCTCCTCCCCCACGCCATCTGATCCAGGAGAAAATAGATGCCTAAGGAATCTTCTGGTAGGGAAGGACGTCACAAACTGCACGCAGTCTGGGGGATGGAGGGGAGGCTTACAACTTTGTTTTGGTGCGAGAATAGATGGGCCCCCTCTGAGCATCTCCCCTGCCAACGGCTGCCGGCTCACCTGGTATAGAGCCGCTCCGTACTGGAGTAGCTAGGATCCCGAAAGTTCGAAGCTCCAAATTTTACTTAACCTGCTAGGCTCTCAAGATAGTAATTCTAATCCCAGTTTTGAGTATTTCACAAGTGCCAGTGCTAGTAGGTGACTAAAATTATAGGTTTGTGAGATGCCAAGTACACAGTTTTTAGACCCGGTGTAAGTAAGTATGGAAATACCAATGATTTTTTTTTCTTTTTTTTTTTTTTAAATGAGCAGCAGGCGAAGGTTACCAGCGTATAAGATCGGGAAGTTAAAATAGTCTGAAAGCTCTCTTTACAGAGAGGGAGCGTTTGAAAGTGCCCATGGACTATGTAGGCAAGGGACTTGGCTTTATAGGGTTTTGGCAGGTCCAAATACTAGTGATTTCTAAATATGTTGTAAAACAGTCCTTTCAGACCACAAATAATTGCATATTGTTATGCAACTAGAACAACTTGTAAGAAAAATGCAAACAATTGGCAGGCGGAATACCTAGAAATACTTTGTAATGAAACCTTTCAAGCACAATAATAAGTAATGCAGTTGTCAGTCGCACCTTGTAAGGTCACTATTACCTATGTTAAGCTCGAGCGTGTTCATGCAGCCCACCTATTTTCCAGCTGAAGTTAGCGCTCTGTCCTTGTTTTCGCTTCGCTGATTATTTCCCTCTTGAACAGTACAAAATAGACCCGTGTCCTCTGGCCACAGCTGCTCTCACTACAAAGCGTGACACTTAAGGGGCGCCTGGGCGGCTTAGTCGGTTAAGCGTCCGACTTTCGCTCGGGTCATGATCCCGCAGTTCGTGGGTTCGAGCCCCGCGTCGGGCTCTGTGCTGACTGCCAGCTCAGAGCCTGGAGCCTGTTTCAGTCTGTGACTCCCTCTCTCTCTG